GTCTGTGTTCCTCTCTTATTTTTTGGCAGTTAAAAAATCATTACCATTTTAAGGCTGCTGGCAGGCATTCATCAGTTCAATAAACATTGTATCCTTGTTTTAGTTGAGGTATTTTATATAGGTTCTTAAGTTTCACTTATACCATCTATTGCCTTTAGACTTATGTTCTCTTTTCCTTACAAAATTGTATTGTCTTTTTACCCAAAATATATTAATATTTTTCTGGTTACCATATTGGACACCTTCAGATCATTAAGGTGCCATCAGTACATAGACCAAATTTATATTAAGGAAGTAACTAGACTAATTAACCCAAGTGTGAGATTATATTCCTATACACATAAATATATATGCCACACACACATATGCATGTGTTAGGTATCCCATGATTGTAAGTTTTGAGTATAGAATTACGTAGTTTTTAAAAGTCCTAATGAATAGAATTTTTATAAGTATAGTCCTGCCTGGATGTTGATTTTTTTTTTTTAGATTTTATTTATTTGAGAGAGAGAGATAGTGACAGAGATAGTGAGAAAGAGCACAAGCGGGAAGGAGAGGGAGAAGCAGCCTCCAGCGGGAGCCTGACGTGGGGCTCGATCCCAGGATGCTGGGATCATGACCTGAGCCGAAGGCAGACGCTTAACTGACTGAGCCATCCAGGTGCCCCTGGATGTTGATTTTTATAATTTCAAAGGTACTTCATTTTCTTTTCTAATTGATATGTAGTAATGAAGTTGATGGCAAAGTGTTGGTGGAAGAAGCTAGGAAAGCAGACCTTCTAAATTGCTTTTGTGTTCTCTTAACAGAGAATGGTCTATAAGACTAGTAAGGACATTGGTAAGGGGCATTGGAAGTCCGTCTTGGTTAAAAAGATTTTAAGATAAGGCCTAGAAACTGAGTAAGGTCAGATATCCTGGCTTCAAAGAATATCTGCACAAACTTGTAAATGAGACTTTGCTAACTCTGAGGAAGATCCGAGACAGGCAAATGGAAGGAGGAGGGGGAGAGGACTGCCGGTTAGTATTTGCTAGGATCCAGAAAAAACATGTAGAATAATTAAAGGGAGAATAATTTGTAGGCACATAATAGGAATGGCAGTGTGATTCCTAGAGACTTAACATGGGCTTACAAATAATAAGTCATGATTCCTAATGGTGACACTTGGAGAAAAGTTGAAAGAATTGAGGATATTCGGCCTGTGGGAAATTAGAATATGGGGGCATGACAAGATACTGGAAGGGCTGCTGTAAAGGAGTAGTGCCAAATGGTGGAAATTTATGGAGATATAAATATAAACTTGATTTCCTCTAGAAAAGAGCTTTGTCAGCTATGTAAACTATAGTATAGTGGCTTTGGGTCAGGCAGATGTGATGTCAGATACACTTCATTACTTGCTGCTTTGTAATTTTTGTCAAGTTTCTTAGCTACTCGGTTTTCTCCTATCTTAAAGTAAGAAATAACAGCTAAATCTTTAGGGTTCCCACAAAGATCACATTAAATGTATTATGTTTCCAAGGCTTAATGCCTGGTCTGTTGTAGGCATTTTAGTAAATGTTATAGGGGAAAGCATGGAAGTTTTTTCTGGAGAGACCTACATCCTCTATTCAGTATTTCTAAATGGAAATTGAGCTAGGTAAGTCTTTGTGCTGTACTTTTGGCGGCTTGTAGGCTGTTTTGCATTCTTGGCCTTTGGGTACTAAAAGTCAGTTTTACCTCAGTCTTCATAACAGAATGCTTCTATGCATTAGGGCTTGTGCACAGGTGTAATCCCACCCAGTAAGATCTGCCACCTAGCTCTGAAATTGGGGCTAATCTGCCTAACCCTTCTCAACCTCTTTTCCTTGTTACTGAAATAGGGATAATGACCCCTATTCTTCATGGTTTATGTTAGAAATTAGCAATAACATAAGTAGTAAAGCTTTTTGTACATTGCAGGTACTTAGGAACTGATAATTTTGGATTTTGTAGTTCTCTTTTGACAGAAACCACAATTTAGTGGGAATGTTCTAGCAAGGAGTCAAGTCTTGATTTAGGTTGGAGGAAATTACCTTTACGTTCTTAGTATCCTGAGATTTCATGGTTTTTTTCAGTGTGCAAATGATCCAGAAATACTTTTGTTATACCTCATGAAATTGAACCTGTGGTGAATTTTTGAGAAGTAGGAAAGAATTCAAATAATACTGATTATCTGCTATGTGGTAGGCACTAGTATTTATTAGAAACAAATCTGTCTTCCAAGAGTTAACAGATTAGTTGGGAAGAAAGTCATTTACATGATTATAAGTCAAATAAGTGACAGGTGCTAAAGTAACAGTGACAGCTGAGATTTAAAGCTTAATTTTAACTGTGTAAAAAGAGGTGGCATTTGAAGTAGGCCTCAACAGTACTGCCCTTCTTGGTCAAGCTTGCCTCAGTCCCAGCACGATGAGCCCCTTCCCCAGAAGACCAGCACCATGTCTCCTGACCAAAGTGTTCTGCAGGGCTTCAGATCTAGTGGAAGTAGTATCAGGTCTCATTTAACAAACAGATCAGAGCACACCTAGTTAAAACATTCTGGCCGAGGACCAAATACTGCCCATTGCAGGCAAGGAGAGCCTCTGCAGACAGCTGGCCTGAAGGACAGAGCAGCCAGAACACAAGGTAGAGCACACACAGCACACACCAGGGACACTTCCTGAAGTGCCAGGCCCTGGGCCCTATAGGACCTCTACTTCCTAAAGCCATTACTCTTTGGAGCAGGAAACAACGAGCTTTTCTAACACAGAAGAAGGCAGAGACTTTGACAAAATGCCAGATGGAGAAATTTATCCCAAATGAAAGAACAAGATAATGTCACAGCCAGAGATCTAAGCAAAACAGATATAAGTAACATGTCTGCTGGAGAATTTCAAGCAACAACCAAGGATATTCGTTGGGCTTGAGAAAAGAATGAAAGATTTCAAGGAGGCCCTTACCACAGAGATAAGAGAGTTAAGAGTCAGAAACGAAAAATGCAATGACTGAGATTGGAAACAGGCTAGATACAGTGAACATAAGGCTAGGAGAAGCAGAGGAATGAATAAGTGATATAGAAGAAGACAAAATAACAGAAAATAAGCTGAACAAAAGAATTACGGAACATGAGAACAGATTTAGGGAATAAAGTGACTCCATCAAATATAACAATACTCATAAGAGTACCAGAAGAAGAGAGAAAAGGGGGCAGAAAATCTGAGGAAATAATAGTTGAAAACTTCCCTAATTTGGGGAAGGGAATAGACATCCACATCCAGGAGGCACAGAGAACTCCCATCAAAATCAACAAAAGCAGGCCATCACCAAGATACACTGTAGTTAAAATTTCAAAATATAGTGATAAAAAAAATCTTAAAAAAAAACAGTAAGACAAAAGAAGTCCCTAACTTACAAGAGAAGACCCAAAAGGCTAGCTGCAGATTTCTCAACAAACTTGGCAAGCTAGAAGGCATTGGCATGGTGTATTCAAAGGGCTGAATGGGAAAAATCTGCAGCCAAGAATGTTCTATCCAGCAAGGCTACCATTCAGAATAGAAGGAGAAAGAGTTTCCCAAACAAAAACTAATGGAGTTTGTGACCACTGAACCAGTCCTGCAAGAAGTATTAAAGGAGACTCTTGGGAGTAGAAAAATCTCCAGAAACAGTGACAAAACAAGTAATAAAATGGCACTAAATACATATTTATTAGTAATTACTCTGAATGTAAATGGACTAAATGCTCCAATCAGAATGGATAGAGAAGACCCATCTATATGCTGCCTACAAGAGACCCATTTTAAACTAAAGATACATGCCAATTGAAAGGGGATGGAGAAGCAAAATGGATGTAAAAAAAAAAAGCTGGAGTATCAATGCTTATATCAGACTTATAAACTAGACTTCAAAGACTTAACGAGATGCAGAAGAGCACTGTATCATAATAAAGGGGACAGTTGAACAAGATCTAACAATTGTAAATACGAACCCAACATGGGGGCACCTGGATATATAAAACAATAACAAACATAAAGGCACTCACTAAGTGGGTCTTAATAGATGAGTTAAATAATGCAGGTATTTGAAATAGCATGAACAAAAAATACATAATAGCATTAATATGTATGGTGTGTAAGAGATTGTGTGCCCACCAGTTAGGAAACATAGGCATAAGGGAGACAGATTAGAAAGGTGATTTGGGGCCACATGAGAGCTGTACTGGTATCTTTTGTTTTGTAGATGAGCAGTCGTGAGAGTAGTTTGAAATTAGCTACAGCTGTCAAGACTCAAGTGTATCTAGTTTGCTTTTCATTTAGCATGAGAAACCATGGTAGATAAAATGACAGTTGCATCCCATACCTTATTACATATAAACTTAATTTACAGTCTATTAGAAAATGTACTTAGAATGGTGAGAGAGGTCAGACCAACTAGGATACTGTTTTAATGTAGGTGAAAAATCTCAAGGACCTCAACTAAGAGAATAGCAGTAAGGGTAAAGAGGAGGCTATGGAAGTCCTTAATTTGAGGGTAAAAGCAGTAAATAGGATTTGGTAAGAAAGGGGAGGAGGAATTGAAGATAATCCATGGGCTAATGGGAGAATGTTGATGCCTTTATAAAAAGATGGCAACATTTGTTTTGTAAAACTGTGTGCAGATAATTTGGAATAGTCTGATTCTGATCTTTTAAGGTTCAGTATTTGGAAGAATCAAGTTGTGTTACAAAGACTTAAGGAATGTTGTATAAGGTAGCTGCATTCCAGACTTTTAAAGCCCTTGGGCTGCTAACCCTGCCAGTTGTAGGTATACTTCATTTATAGTTTAGTGTGTCTGCCAGAAGTCTCTGTTTGTGGTAGACAATCAGTAAGTGGTTATTAATTAGTTGATTTTAATTTGTGGCACAGTAATCCCAAGAATAAGAGCTTGTCTTTCGAGAAACATAACTTTGATTTCAAAAAGAGAGCTTAGGAGTCTCTAGTCTTATGGGACAGTATTCAAAGCTGACAGCATATACTAACCCTACAAATGTATAAAAAATATACATACAAATGTGTTTTATGTATGAAAGTGCATTTTTAGGGTTATAAGGCCTCTCTGAACATGGAGGTAAACTTTTTGTTTGCAATGCTAAAATTACGCTAGAATCCCATCTTATTACTGTTAGGGTAGTGGACATAAGCTCTTTTTGCCTAGTTTTGTTGAATACCCAACGTACCCTCTTGAGGGTGATGAAAAAGTGGGAGTACTATAGGTTAATCTTTTTTTGAAATATTGGGTTGACTTATGGGGCTTTAGTTTTGAGTATGGTAAGAAACTGTTAACCCAGAGGCATACATGTACCTACCTATTCACCTAGCTACAAATTTTATGAGCCTTTGGACATACAGACCAGTTATTTATACAATTTAAGATTTAAATTACAGCGTTCAATGTGTTCTTAGCTTTATGAACAGATGGATTAATTCTAAGTCACTTGCCAAATGGCCCAACTGCTCATTTTAAAATGAGCAGTGTTCGTTTGCGTAAAGAAATTAAGGTAAGTTTTATTCATTCCTTGATTGGCATTGGTCTCCTTGCAGTATATGCTTAGTTAACTCTGTAACTTACAGATCGAATTGCTTTTATAATGGCATTTGTCCTTCTGCTTAAAGCGAGTTTTATCTACTGGCAGTTTTCGTATGAGATTGTAATTGAGTTATGGCAGACAGGCAGTAGCCTTCATTACTATGAAACCGGTTACTTTTCTAGTAGGACTTTTTGGTACAGTCACTGTATGTTAAAATAATTTTAGATATATTTCATAGGATTGATAAGTCATCTGTGGTAGTTTGTCATTAAGAAAGATACCTTTAAAATTTTTCAGTTTGCCACATAAATTCTGAAACTTGAACTTACAGTATCAGGATATAGATTAATTCCTTATTGTGATATTTTTCATCATTTTTCCAGAGAAGAGGCAAGGACCCTACAGAACACATACCTGAAATAATTTTGAATAACTTTACAACGAGACTGGGTCATTCTGTTGGGCGTATGTTTGCATCTCTCTTTCCCCATAATCCTCAGTTTATTGGGAGGCAAGTTGCCACATTCCACAATCAACGGGACTATATCTTCTTCAGATTTCATAGGTGAGGAAGGTACTTTAACTCCTTAGACTTTGACTTAAATCATGAAATATATTTTCAATGTAAACATGTTTTCTAATGTATTGTGACAAGTATTCTAGATGAGAAATAAATTATCTTTTGAACTCTATCACGTTAAAGAAATTACATTTGATTTATTCAGACTGTTTTCCCTTAATTCTTTCATTTATCTTTGAAGGTACATATTCAAGAGTGAAAAGAAAGTGGGAATTCAGGAACTTGGACCACGTTTTACCTTAAAATTAAGATCTCTTCAGAAAGGAACCTTTGATTCTAAATATGGAGAGTATGAATGGGTCCATAAGGTATGTGCCTTATTTCAAAAGCCATTTAGATCATTTTAAAAGAATGGAATGAGGAGGAAACCATGTACTTTATGCTTTTGAGTGCTTATATCTCAAGCTATGCTCCTGACCTCCATAAGCTTGAAAAAACCAATCTCTAACAGGGTATTTTGTGCTGGTGATGAACCCTGGTTCATTTGAATTATCCTAAAGATCAGTGGTCCTCAAAGTGGACCAGCAGCATCACCTAGGAACCTGTTAGGAAGGCAAATTGTTGGCCCACAGACCTACCAAATCAGCATCTTAGGGAGTGGGGCCCAGCACTCCCTTTATAAGCCAGTGTTACGATTCTGTTGTATGTTTGAAAACTTTTGCTATAGACATTTTGTAAAGTTTGTAGATTTTAAATCAGAAATGAAAACTTTAATATCTTAAAACCCGTCTCTTTTCTAGTAAGCAATAGTTCACTTAGGTATTTTTACTTCAGAATTTTACATGTATATTATACACCTACATATTAGAACAGTAACTTCTAATACCTTTATTAGACCTAGACTATTCAGTCTCTGAAATGGACCCAAAAGGGTTTTTTTTTTTTAAGTATTGTTACCTGTAAATTGTTTACTTTTTTTTCCTAATTTTCAGCCCCGGGAAATGGATACAAGTAGAAGAAAATTCCATTTATAAAATACTGAAGGAATAGTATTGAATTGTGCTAAACAGGCCAATCTTGGATTTATGACAGAAGACCCTTTTCAAAATGTCATTTACTGGTTTCATAAACCTTTTCATGTCTGGACAAAGTATCAAGTGCCATGAATTACCATTCACCGTCTATGTAGCAAATACAAATAAAAGTCATTTTGGTGAATTTAGAAGTTGCAGTTTAAGTTTCCTAAAAGTTCTCTTATTTCTAGGTACTTGTAAGTTGGAATCAAGATTCAAACTAACTTTTCCATGTGTACTTTCATGGAACACGTGGCCTGGAGAGAAAATACAGTCCTTGGTACTTACTAGCCCATTGGTTTTCTACCAGCCTAATCTTGGATCTGGCACATAACTTTAATTCTGTTTCCTGCATGAATACATATTGGGAGGCCAGGTTTCTGGGATGTTTTAGTATTTCCTTAAGCCTTTCAGAATGGTAAAAATTTTAAAGCAAAATGGTTTACCAAGGACTTAACAGTTGCAAATTACTGAAGCTAAACTTTGGTTCCTTTTTTCTTGATACTTTGTACCTCATTACATTGTACTATAGTATTCCACTCAAGAAATGTTTAAAAGTCTGAAATTTTTCTTAGCATTTTCTAATGGAATTCCTATGTCCAGTCTTTACTGTCCTTATTAGGAATGCAATCTTTTAAGAAGTAATTAACTCTTAGGTGGAATGGTAATAACCCTACACAAGAGTTTATTAGAAATATTTATTATTAAAACAAAGTTAATCCTGCAAATAACTCATGAGTAGGAACTAGTACTAGTAGCTTCCTCCTGACCTTGAAAGAATACAGAAGTCTGCAACTTACCTTTAATTCCCTATAGTCTTTCAAATAAATGTATGGCATAAAATTATGTGAGATGAGTTGGTAGGAGAAAACACTAAAACTTAACCCCTTTTTAAAGACAATGGGAAACTCACATATCTTAGGTATTCAAAATAAATTAATACATAGTCTATTTAATACCAGTAATTAACCAAAAAACTTTTATACTAAGTATTTTATTGTATGCTGCTGCCAGTGTATATAAAATAATTACCCTTGTGAAATAGAAATTTATGAAAATTCAGAGAGGTAGATGTTAAAGACTGACAAAAGTAGAAGTTTATATAGTATGGCACGTGTTATAGGGATAATAAGCTTTGTACAGGCTTCAAATTTAGTTCTCCTTTGAATATTCACTGGTTCATGAAAAGTGGTTTAGAAAACCTGAAATGGAAAAGAAAGAGTGAATTATTAGGGTACCGTACCAAAGCACAATAGTTTTTTCTGAAAAGTAATACACTTCTATTACTTTAAGGGTATTTATTTGCATATAAGCTTATAAAGTGCTTTCAATTAAACTAAGCCTGTTTTATTTTTTAAAAAGATTTATTTATTTGAGAGACAGCCAGCGCTGGTGTGTGCGCGACTGGGGGGGGGGGGCACGGGAGAAAATATCCAAGCAGACTTCCAACTTGGGGCTCGATCTCAGGACCAATGAGATCAGGATGATTGAGCCACCCAGGTGCCCCAAACTAAGCCTGTTTTGTTTTGTTTTGTTTTTTTAAAGCAGACATATCGCAGGGTTTCTAGGGGGAAAAAATGAGAAACAGGAGATTTCTGTGATGTATAAAATGTAACTTCCTCTTAATTTTCACAACCATTCTGAAGTACAAATCACTTCTGGTTTATAAACAACAGACTTAAAGATTAACTTGCCAGGATCACTCCGAAAGATACTCTATGTCCTAATAAAAAAAAGTTAATGTAAAACTCTCTTAAGTTCTGAAAAATCTGAACATCCCTAGAAAATGAGCAGTTAGCACTGATGAGAGCAGTTTGGCTTTATCTACTACGGTAAAAGATGCAATCCCACTTCTATTTACCTAGATAAACCTACACTTAAAGAGAAACATGTACACGGATATTGACTATAGTGGTGTTTTAACAGCAAAGAACTAGAAATAGCCTAAATGTAACTCAATAGGGGAATAGATAAACCAGGATTTATACATATTGTTGAATACTATACAGCAGTTAAAACAATTTACATGGATCAACACAAATCTCAAAAATAATACAGTAGTTATTCCTAAAAAACAGTAAGTTATCTATATGGAAAGATAGAAAAAGTATATCTTTTTAAAATTTTTTGATACATGGTTCTCTACTTACTTGAAAATTTCTGATATTCTATAACAAAAATGTTCAAGAAGCTTAAACAGAATCAGTGGTGAAAAAACAAAATGTCTAACCTCAATTAACATCTGGATTAATACAAACTTAAAAAACTAGATAGGCAGAAAATGAGGGTTGTTTAGCAAGAACTCAACAAAAAAGCATTCTCAAGGTCCAGGTGGAAAGTTTGCTCCTAGTTATCAAGTGTTATTAAATTTTAAATGTCATTCCTTATTGAATAATTTTACTTTTATTTTTTTTAAGATTTTATTTATTTATTTGACAGCGAGAGAGAGAGAGACAGTGAGAGAGGGAACACAAGCAGGGGGAGTGGGAGAGGGAGAAACAGGCTTCCCACTGAGCAGGGAGCCCGATGCGGAGCTCGATCCCAGGACCCTGGGATCATGACCTGAGCCGAAGGCAGACGCTTAACAACTGAGCCACCCAGGCGCCCCAAGATTTTATTTATTTGAGAGAGAGAGTTTTAAGCCAGGGGGAAGAGAGCAGAGAGGAACAAGCAGACTCCACCCAACACAGGGCTCTTTCCCACAACCCTGAGCTCATAACCTGAGCCAAAATCAAGAGTCAGAAGCTTCCAACTGAGCCACCCAGGCCCCCCTAAATAATTTTACTTTAGAAATCGATCTTAAGGAAACAGGTAAACTATACATAGGAGTACCAAGATATTTGCCTCAGTGTAGCTTCAAACTTGGAAACCTCAATATTTAATGATGTCCTCAATATTTAATGATGTTTAAGTTACAACCATTGAAAATCTAGTTTACAAAGAATTTTAATGAAGAAAATTCAAGTGTTTTTTTAAAAGCAGAATAAAAACTGTACATATTGTGATCCTCATTGTCTGTAAACCTGCCCATAAATATTTCTTCCTCTTAAAAGGAAATCTAATCTATTAACAGTGATTGTTTCTAGGTGTGCTGATCATGGTAATTTCTATTTTCCTTGTACTCTATCTACTACTAAATTATCTACGTTGTCTTAATTTAAATTATCAAAACTATGTATTTTTAAGACTGACTTGTAGATTCTTTGCATCCAGGCCATTTCACTGTGGGCCACCCAGGACCACCAGCATCAATATAACCTGGGAGTCTGTAAGAAATGCTTCACCCCTAGAATTCAGACCTATTGAGAATTTGCTTCTGAACAAGGTGATTTGTAGATACATTCAAGTTTGAGAAGAAATGCTTTTACATCCAAATGTCCTTTTCCTGGACCAAGGTGTTTCAAATCATACCTACAAACTTGTTTTATTATACTGCCAGGATTAGTAGCAATTATTTTACTCTGAAATCTGGGTTCTTATCCTAGTTATATTTATAACTTTGAGCAAGTCATTTAAATACCTATCTGTAGACTCTTGTGAAATGAAACTGTTAACAGCCAGATAAGAAGCCAGGCTTCTTAACAGTATTTTATATCAAATGAAAATAAACCTCTTTGTAAAGTGAATACAACGGGAACAGAGGTTAAAGAATCTTTAATAAGCCATAAAAATAAGAAATTTCCAAAAACTGCCATGAAGAATTAATATTGCTAGAGGCAAAGAACTATTAACTATTCAAAATGAACGTGTTAAGCTGTTAAAAAGAATGACTTCCTCATGGGAAACCTATTACTCAAAGGTGGTTTCTGGTGTTTCAAAATCTTAACCTATTTAACCATTTTATTTACTGGAAACATGCTGACTTCCTGGATACTACCAAATCTACAAAGCTTAATGAGGGAGGGCACAACTATGTAACATGGTATTTTAGGAAGCAGCTTCCTGAACTTTGAGGAGTTAGAATGTTTGTAAAGGGTGTGTGCCACACAGTTTTTTTTTTTAAAACACTATTATTTTAAGGTTGCTTCTCATAGGACAGTACGGGTGAGTAAACCCTCTGACTAAAGTACCGTGTATTTATAAAAGGTGTAGCACCCTTGGATTACATTTTAAATTCTCCACAGCATGTTTTTTGGTCACAACTCTCTTGGATTAACATTATATACTTTTGCACACATTGACATTTGATCTGGAAGGTACAGATTAATATACAGACACATGTCTTAAACCAGCAAATTCTTTAGTTTCTTAATCTTCTGAAATCAAATCCGCTGCCTGCCACCATGAACTCATACACTTCATTTCTCTCGTTCTATCTTTACTTTACAAGAATAAAGAGTAAAACCTGTTATTCCCCACTACAAATGTCAGTTTATTCAATGATCTCTTGATTTTCTCTTACATTCCCAACCCCCAATTCTTTGCTATGCTGCGTTATAGCTGGGTTCTATTAGAGAAAAGACATCAGGATTAATCCAAATGAGTTGGTAGTATTTAAAAGTCATCCCATGAACACTGCAGATTTTTTTAAAACTGTCTAAATATTAAGGCAACTTACCATCCAAAGATTCATTTTACTACAAAAAGGAACAGACTTTTTGGGGTCTGAAGGGATTCGTACTTGAAGATACACCAGTTAGCAGGGGGTCGTGTTGGGCATTCTGCAGACAGAATTGTTTCAAATCTGCAGCTGCCTGGGAAACCTGTATAAGACAAAAGGAGAGGGTAGTGGGAAGAGGCGAGAATGTTTTTTTAAATTTTATTTTATTATGTTAATCACCATACATCATTAGTTTTTGATGGTAGTGTTCCATGATTCATTGTTTGTGCATAACACCCAGTGCTCCATGCAGAACGTGCCCTCTTTAATACCCATCACCAGGCTAACCCATCCCTCACCCCCCTCCCCTCTAGACCCTCAGTTTGTTTCTCAGAGTCCATAGTCTCTCATGGTCCGTCTCCCCCTCCGATTTCCCCCCTTCATTTTTCCCTTCCTATGATCTTTTTTTTTCTTTTTATGCTATGGTGAGCACTGTGAATTGTGTAAGACTGATGAATCACAGCGAGAATGTTTTAATGAAGGTTTCCTCAAATCTTTGAAATACCTGCATGCAATAAATACTTCTTTTTTTTTTTTTAAAGATTCTGAGCCACCCGGGCGCCCCTATAAACACTTCTCTTAAATCAAAAGATATATACTAATTGAAGGTCAACAGTCATATATATACTGAGCTCATACTCAAAACACTACATGTACAGAGGACTAGTTTATGTTTTCTTTTGCTTGCTTATTAAAAGCATCAAATGATTCAGTACATCTGCAAAATAAAACCTATCTTGCTAGTTTATTAATAAATAATCTTCAGAGGTATTCCACCTTCAGAGCCTCAACATATTTTTTACTAAAAGCCATACACTCGATACAAAAGGCGTTAAAATTCTAGCCAACTATTACTTTGTCTTGAAAGCAATATTATTGGAAAAATGCTACTGTGAATGAACATTATGTTCTAAAACTGAACCATTCAGTTCATTGTTTTGGTATTATGTACCATTGCTATTTAAGGTTACGAAACTGAACAGTGACAGCTTTCTGCTTGGTGTCATGCGACTGAAAGGCTGATAGCAAACTTCAAATTATTTTAATAACTTCACTGAGCAGCCTGCCTTTAAAAAGCAGTGTATTTGCTTAAATGTGATTTTAACAATTTTCATATACATATACAATGCCACTCAAACAGGACTTAAGGAATTAAGTATCACTTAAATGTCTACTATTTGTATACTGATAAGGTGATGTAGAATACCAAAATAAAGAACCGAATGGTTCAGATGTAGAACATGAATAACTAAAAGATGTACCAAATGAATACAATATCCTCAGTCTTGAGGTTTAGGAAGATGGGAAAAATAATCATTTATTTTCAGTTTCAACTATCCCCAAGGAGGGTGAGAGCAGGTGTCCAGTCCGGCTGGGCATTTGCCTGTGAAAGGGAGGTAAGCATCACAAATACTCTCTATAAGAAGAAATCCTGCAGATTACTGCTGTATCCCAGACATTTACCTGGTAAAAGGATACATGATCCTGAAATGAATCTCAAGTCTTGAAATCTATTTGTGTATTTGGGTTATACAACAGTCCAGAGTAACTGAGTTCCATAGGTTTATTTAGCAACTGTATAAAGTATTATGTAAATACCTGATAACCAAGTGCTACAAAAAATGGCCACCCTGTTTACCCACCAAAAGAAGGTGTAGCTAAAGTGGGGGGTATGCATGGTATCATTTTGCACAATCTTAAAACTTGGTTTCATTCACATTAACTAGCAGTAAGGATAAAGTATTAACTTTCTGCCTAAAAGGGAGGCAGGCTCCAACTTAACTAATTCCCTTTCACAAACTTCTCAAGCACTAGTAATGTGCCAAATATATTCTGGCACTGAGAATACCTAAGAACAGCCAGGTCCTTGTTACAGAGGTGACAGTTCAGAGGAAAATACAGACAAGGAGCTCTTTGGAAAAAAGAGTGGTTAGATCATGCCTTAAGGGAAGGTGTCTCTGGGGAGGTGATATTTAAACTTGAGATCTTAGAGACAAGAGAACCAGCCAGGTAACTATCAGTGAGAAACCAATCAGAATTCTAAGTAGTTGGGAGAACTAAGACAAAGACTCTAAAACTCAAACAAGCTGCTAGCCCCTAAAGCATTGTAATAATCACCATCCAGGAGGTTGAAACCCTATAATCCTGGCATAATTATTACTGCCCTCTTTAACTCTCAAAACTGTCCTGGGTTGGTGAAACAACGTATGGTCGCCCTACATATGGTAGAGTTTGTCAAGCATTTGTAACCATTTCTATGGTTTCTACTTAAAGGTTTAATAGTAAACTTGTGCTAGTTTAAAAATAAACGAGCACCCAAAAAAGCATCTAGCATAGTCATGGATAAAATAGGCACACAAAATAAAATCGAACTAACCATATTTTACAACAGATTTAAAGAAAAGCTCATTTAAAAGTCCCAAGGTGGGATGCCCTCCCTTCCTTGCTACAGCCCCTAGCAGGAAATAGAGAACTCTAAAACCAAATCACCTATGGTGGCTTTAAGGCTCCTGACCAGAAGCCTCCTGAAGAAATGAAGTATAGGAACAGGCATCACTCTGGAGAGTTAACTGCAGTAGCTGGGGTTTTCATGGTAAAACCCTCAAGTACTTTAGTCTGAGGACTTCCATCTCATTTTCTTTTGAGACAAGGGCTAAGTACCCCTACTGAACACTTACTGCTTTCAACCAACCTTTTTTTTTCTTTTGCCTCCCATACCCCCGCATTTTTTTCTTTCCTGAGCCACTCCAACTATGGTAAAGGCACACCTGAATGATAACGTAATGGTTGGTTAAGAAATTTCAGAGTTAAATCCAGCCAAGAGTGACCATAAACCACTGGGATGAAGTAAGTATCTGGATATGAGAGAAATGGACTCCAAACAGCAATGGAGTCTACAGCACTTAAGGCCAGGAAGGGAGGGGAATCCCACACCAAAATTGATGGGAATTTCCCTTCCGTCCTGAGGTGACCACAACTGAGTAAGCTAGGTCCCTGACATTTCTATTTAAGGAAATAGGTAAATGGGAGACTATCTTACTCCACAGAACATTTCAGGGAGAAGTAAAGACTAGCCTGATGAGTACACAATCAAGTCATCTTGGAAACTGGCTGTTTCTTTCAACGGAGTGCATGATTTATATTCTTCTGTTTCTTTTTTTATTAATTACAAGAAGAGTTTCACTTGTAAGCTGACCTGTGCCAGAAAGAAGCCAATCCATTCAGGATTTTAAAAATCAGGAGAAACTTGGAATAGCATGTGAATGTCAGGTTATCCTACCAACATACACAAAAGGTTTTTTTTCCCCCAAAGTAAACGCCCAGGTCAGTGTTAACCAGTCGGCAAAACAAATAAAACTTGACCACCCTGTTCACTAAGAGCAGACCAGCAGATATTCCCAAGGTCATATCCCAGCAAACTGTGCCAAATAGGTATGCAATGCACGCTTTGTACGAGGTTGTACAGGGCACCAGTGGTAACCTTAGAGAACGTTTTGAAAACAAACATGCTTCTTTGACCTAAAGTTTGCGTTTGCAAAAATTCGTTTTCAAGTATGTGTTCGGTGGATAAGAGCTGGAGGTAAGAATCTAGTACTAAAAGGAGTGGGTTTGGGAACGTTCTGACATGAAAAGAAAACTGGTTCTGTTCTGAATTAAAACTCAGATAAAACTGTCTAGTGAAAAGAAAGGGTGGAGTCTGGTAAGCTGAGGACTGGAAGGGTGCGGACGGCGCGCGGAGGAGCAGCTGTTGCCCAAGCCAGCCACGGAGTCACTGCGGAGGGAGAGAGAGACAAGGGCGAACGGAATGCGGAAAGCCGCGGTCCAGCCGCCTTGGAAAGCCCTGGCCGCGGAAGGGCGCACTAACCGGCCCCCCAAACCACAGCGCCGACCCGCGCCCCTACTTCGCTGAAGTTGGCTGCTCCCGGATCCTCGCCGCCGAGCGCGCGCCCTCCCCAAGGGAAGCGGGAGCCGGACGCGAGTGCAGCCAGTGCCAGCCACCTCGGCCTCCCGATCCCACCCTCCGCCTCCGCCCTCCCCTCCCCCTCGGCCGCCCGCCCCCGCTCACCTTCACGCGGTTGAGCCCGGCTTCCAGCCGGAGCTGTTGAACCACTTTCTTCATAGCGGCGACGCTGGAGGAACCAGACATGGCGCTCTCAAGAGCGGGCAGATTCGTCCGTGCGTGGATCTGTCGGTTCGTGGGTCCGCTGGGCCAGACGGTGGGGCAGCGCGGCGGGGGGCGGGGCTCGGAACTTTGTCTCTTAAGTTTCCGGTTCTTTGCCCAGCGGCTCCACCCGCGGCACGCATGCGCGCTCCTCCTCCGCGTTCAGTTCCAGCTCCTCACCCCGGCGGGGAGCGGAGGCGGAGGGAGGGGGAGAAGGGAGTGAGAAGGGGCGGGGCGGACTGTGGGCTGAGTAGCTGCGGGACGCGAGCGCGACCGGACGCCAGTCTTCTTCCTCTCCCGAGAGGCCGACTTTGGAAAGGTAAAAAAGAAAAAAAAAGTTTGTCATTAGCCGCCAAGACCCGAGGGGGACCCTGAAGAGGACTGGTGAGGGAAGTCAGGTGCTTGAGGGAGTTTACAAAAGGCGCGGTGGCAGGCTGACGAGGAGGTTCGCTTTCCTGAACGGCGTTGGTGGCAGAAGTTGAGGGAAGAGAAGGACCCAGCCGAGGTGTATAGGAGCCAGAAGTACCGGGCGCGAGTCACTGACACCCTACCCTGTCTCCTTAGAGACGTGTCTCTAAGTGACTCGAGTTTGTTCAACGGGCGGCCAGTCCTCAGCCAGCTTCCCGCCATCAGACTCCTGAGGCCGAAAAAGGACACGGAGGTTGCTGTAACTGACCGGGGAGGAGCGGGGCGACGGCGAGCACGGGTGCTGGTTCGCTAGGGAAAAGTGCTTCTCGGGATTTGGCTTCTTTCGCCTCTTACCTCTTGGTTTTCTCGAAGAGGTTGTGAACAAGCCAAGGTACTTGCTGAAGATTACACCCATCTCTTGTTATCCATTTCATTTGGGGGATTAACGCTTATCATATCAAAATACATTTGTGTGTTTCGGGAAAGTTTGTTCTGCATTTCAGTTGTAACTCATTACCTGCTGCCTGAAATTGACCTTCAGAGGAGTTTCTGGAGAGAGAAACAGTAGGATCTAATCAAGCAAAATAGGCTCAGGCAAAGTGTGTTTCACCCATGGAAACGTATTATGGCACAGCACTTAGGACAAGTGTATCCTATGCAACGATTCAAGTACATCAACAAATACACTGATGTTTTCAATAAACGTGAATAATTTAATCACTAAGACGTTACAGATTTTTCGTATGGTGAGAAAATCCACATATAATTTGCCCTAATTGACAAAACCTAACTTATTTACTAAATAGTTTAAATCATTTTTAAAAAATGTACAATGTGCTTTAGTATATTACTTAATTCATACGATAGATGTAATGACTAGGGTTATAAACCAAGGTATAAATCCTGGCACTACCACTTACCTTGGTATTCCTAGGCAAGCCACTTTAACTTCGCCGAGCCTCTTGTTTCCTCATTTTTTTTTTCCTAAAGATTTCATTTATTTGACAAAGAGAAAAGAGCACAAGTAGGGGAGCAGCAGGCTGAGGTAGAGGGAGAATCAGGCTCCCTGATGAGCAAGGAGCCTGATGTGGGGTCGATCCCAGTACTGTGGGATCATGACCTGAGCAGAAGGCAGACGCTTAACCCACTGAGCCATCCAGGTGTCCCTGTTTACTCATTTCATAATGAAATAATAAAGCTTCCCAGATTTTTTTTTTAATTGACAACTATTCATTATGCTCTGCTCACCACAAGTATAGCTGCCACCTGTCACCATACAATGCTATTACAGTACCATTGACTATATTCCGTGCTGTACCTTTCATCTGGGAGACTTATTCCATAACTGGAAGCTTGTACCTCCCACTCCCCTTCACCCATTGTGCCTGTCCTCTCAGCCTCCCTCCCTCTGGCCACCATAAGTTTGTTCTCTAAAATTATGGGTCTGTTTCTGGTTTTGTTTGTTCGTTTGTTTTTTAGATTCCACATATAAGTGAAATCATTGTATTTGTCATTCTGATTTATTTCACCTAGCATAATATCCTCTAGGTCCATCCATGTTGAAAAGGGCAAGACCTCATTCTTTTTCATGGCTGAGTAATATTCCATTACTCAGTAATATTCTACATATTCTTTATACACTCATCTATTGGACACTTGGGTTGCTTCCATACCTTGGCTATTGTAAATAATGCTGCAATAAACATAGGGGTTCGTAGGAGGCACCTGGGTGGCTCGGTCTGTTAAAAGTCTGCCTTTGGCTCAGGTCATGAGCTCAGGGTCCTGGGATGGAGCCCCACGTCAGGCTCCCTGCTCAGTGGGGAGCCTGCTTCTCCTTCCTCTGCCCCTCCCCCTCCTCATTCTCTCTCTCTCTGTCTCTCAAATAAGTAAATAAAATCTTAAAAAAAAAAAACACATAGGGGTGCATATATCTTTTCAAATTAGTGTTTTTGTTTTCTTTGGGTAATATCAAGTAGTAGAATTACTGGATGGTAGGCATTTCTATTTTTTTATGGTATTTCTATTTTTAATTTTTGAAGAAACTGCATACTGTTTTCCATAGTGGCTGCACCAGTTTATATTCCCACCAACAGTGCATGAGAATTCCTTTTTCTCCACATCCTTGCCAACACTTGTTATTTCTTGTCTTTCTGACGCTAGCCATTCTGAGAGGTGTGAAGTGGTATCTCCTTGTTTTGATTTCTCTAATGATTAGTGATGTTGAGCATCTTTTCATATGTCTGTTGGCCATCTGTGCGTTGTCTTTGGGAAAATTCCTGTTCAGGTCCTCTGCCCATTTTTTTTTTAAAGATTTTATTTATTTATTTTGAGAAAGAGAGAATGTGAGCAGAGGGAGGGAGAATCTTAAGCAGACTTCACATCTAGTGGGGCTCAGTCTCAGGACCCTGAAATCATGACCTGAACCGAAATCAAGAGTTGGACGCTTAACTGACTGAGCCACCCAGGCAACCCTCCTCTGCCCATTTTTTAATATCAGATTGTTTTTTGTTACTGAAGTATAATTAACATACAATATTATATTAGTTTCAGGTGTATAACATAATGATTCAACAGTTTCATATATTATTCAGTGCTCACCACAATAAGTATACTCACCATCTATCACCAAACAATGTTATCACAATATTATTGACTATATTTTTCATGCTGTACTTTTTATTTCCATGATTTTTTTTATCACTGGAAGTTTGTACTTTTTAATCCCCTTTATTTCACTCATCTCCTTATGGTCCTCTGGCAACCCTCAGTTCTTTGTATTTAAGCATCTAGTTTTTGTTGATTCATTTCCTTTTTAGATTCCACATATAAGTGAAATCATATGGTATTTGTCTTTCTGTGTCTGATTTATTTCACTTAGCATAATACCCTCTAGTTCCATCCATGTTGTTGCAAAGGGCAAGATCTCATTTTTTTTTTTTTTTTTTTTTAAGATTTTATTTGACAGAGAGAGATAGCAAGAGAGGGAACACAAGCAGGGCGAGTGGGAGAGGGAGAAGCAGGTGCCCCGCTGAGCAGGGAGCCCGATGTGGGGCTCGATCCCAGGACCCTGGGATCGTAACCTGATCCGTAGGCAGATGCTTAACGACTGAGCCACCCAGGCGTCCCAAAGATCTCGTTCTTTGTGGCTGAGTAATATTCCATTGTGTGTATGTATACCAGTGGAATTACTGGATCATATGGTGTTTCTATTTTTAATTTGTGAGGAACCTGCATAGTGTTTTCCACAGTGGCTGCACCAACTTGCATTACCACCAGCAGTGCATGGGTGATTCTTTTTTTCCACATCCTCACCAACACTTGTTTCTTGTCTTTTTGATTCTAATCATTCTGACATGTGTAAAGTGATATCTCATTGTGGTTTTGATTTGCATTTCCCTGATGATTAGTGATGTTGAGCATCTTTTCATGTGTCTGCTGCCATTTATATGCCTTCTTTGGAAAAGCATCTATTCAGTTCCTCTGCCCATTTTTTAGCTGGATTATTTGTGGTTTTGGTGTAGATTGTGTAAGAAGTTCATGTATTTTGCATATTAACATCTTACCAGATATATCATATGCCAAAATCTTCTCCCATTCAGTAGGTTGCCTTTTCATTTTGTTGTGGTTTCCTTCACTGTGCAAAAGCTTTTTTTGATTTAGGCCTAATAGTTTATTTTTTCTTTTATTTCCCTTCCTTGAGGAGGCATATCTAGGAAAATGTTGCTAAGGCTGATGTCAGAGAGATTACTGCCTATGTTTTCTTCAGGTCTCATATTTAGGTCTTTAATCCATTTTGAATTTATTTTTGTGTATGGGTTGAGACAGTGGTCCAGTTTCTTTTCCTTTTTTTTTTTTTTTTTGTCACTGTCCCATTTTCCCAGCACCATTTGTTGAAGAGTCTATCTTTTCCCCCATTGTATATTCTTGCCTCCTTTGTTGTAGATTAAGTGACCATATAATCATTGTTTTATTTCTGGGCTCTCTGTTCTGTTTCATTGATCTATGTGTCTCTTTTTGTGCCAGTACTGTATTATTTTGATTACTACAGCTTTGCAGTATATCTGGAAATCTGGGGTTGTGATCCCTCCAGCTTTATTCTTTTCTCCCAAGACTGCTTTGGCGATTTCAGATCTTTTGTGGTTCTATACAAATTTTGTATTATTTGTTCTAGTTTTATAAAAAATGCTGTTGATGTTTTGATAGGGAATACATTGAATTTGTAGATTGCTTTGGGTGGGTAGTATGAACATTTGAATAATATTAAATCTTCCATGAGCATGCAGTATCTTTCCCTTTGTGTTATCTTTAATGTCTTTCATCAGTGTTTTATAGTTTACAGAATATGGGTTTTTCACCCACTCATTAAGCTTATTTCTAGGTATTTTATTCTTTTTGGTGCAATTGTGAATGGAACTGTTCTCTTAATTTCTCTTTCTGGTACTTCATTATTATTGTATAGAAACACAACAGATTTCTGTTTATTAATTCTGTATCCTGCACCTTTATTGAATTCATTTATCAGTTCTAGCTGTTTTTTAGTGGTGTCTTTAAGGTTTTTTATATATAATATATATTATCATGTCATATATACATAGGGACAGTTTAAGTTCTTCCTTACCAGTTTGGATGCATTTTATTTCTTGTCTGATTGCTGCAGCCTGGACTTCCAATGCTATGTTGAATAAAAGCAGTGAGAGTGGGCATCCTTGTCTTGTTATTGAGCTTAGAGGAAAAGCTCTGTTTTTCACCATTGAGTGTGATGTTAGCTGTGACTTTTTCATGTGTGGCCTTATTATGTTGATGTTGTTCTCTCTAAACTTATCATGTTGAGAGTTTTTATCATGAATGGATGTTGTACTTTCCCAATGCTTTTTCTGCATCTATTGAAATGATCATATGGTTTTTATACTTTCTCATTAGTGTGACTTATTATGTTGATTGATTTGTGAATATTGCACCACCTTGTATCCCTAGAATAAATCCTACTTGATTGTGGTAAATGATTTTTTTAAATTTTGAAATTCATTTGCTAACATCTTGTAGAAGATGTGGTTTTCTCTTTTTTTGTATTGTCTTTGTCTGGTTTTAGTATCAGGGTAATGCTGGCCTGATAGAATGAATTTGGAAGTTTTCCTTCCTCTTCTGTTTTTTTGGAAAAGTTTGAGAAGAGTGGGTATTAACTCTTCTTCAAATGTTTGGTAAATTCACCTGTGAATCCACCTGGTGCCCTGACTTTTGTTTGTTAGGACCTTTTTGATTACTGATTGAATTTTGTTACTGGTAATCAGTCTGTTCAGATTTTTTCTTTCTTTTTGATCCAATCTTGGCATATTGTATGTTTCTATGAATTTATTTATTTTAGGTTGTCCAATTTGTTGGCATATAATTTCTCATAGTAGTCTTTTATAATCCTTTGTATTTCTGTGATGAAGTTTATTACTTCTCTTTCATTTCTGATTTTATTAAATCCTCTCCCTTTTTTCTTGATGAATCTGGCTAATGGTTTATTAATTTTGTTTATCTTTTCAAAGACCCACTCTTAGTTTCATCGATTTTTTTTAATAAAAATAAAAGATGTTTTGTCCCAGGTATAATTTTTAAATTTTGATACCATTAGAACAATTAGTGATCTCTGGTATGATTTCATAAAGCTGTAATCAGTACCAAATTACAGAAATTTTACACTTTTTTTATTTACTCACTAATTTAATATAAATCAAGATGGAGCAGTGCTTTGGAATCTTGGAAAGCCTTCTGTTCTGGTATCGGTATCTTTTTGTATCCTTAAGGATTGTCCAACTTTGATAATTCTTTTTTATAGTAATTCAGCTCCCTTATTTTAATTTTTATTATATATTTATATAATTTAAATTTTACTGTGTATTCGTGTAAACTGTTCTAAATCCTCAGAGGAAAAATACAGGAAACAATACACAAACATAGCTTAAAATACTTAAAGACTAGCATTTTCATCTGGAATAATTGTTCACATTTATTACTGAGGTATCCAAGCCTAGGAAGAAATACATGTGGTAAAATGGTTTTCATCATTCTATAGCCATTTGTACAAATTTAGTCTTTCCACTTCCAGAAACATAGTTCTACTTTATGTAAAATACCGTATATATTTAACTTTAATTTTCAAACTTGAGAAAATGAATTGTTCAGAATAGTAAAATATGCCCTGATCACAAGTCTATCATAATTTAAGTTAGCACTCTATTTAGTTGTATGGGATATATGTTCATTTTATTGCATCCCCAGTCCTACTTACTAGTAATATGTCTTTTCAAATTACTATAATAAGAGTGTATACATTCCTAAGTTTTCATTTTTGGTCTATTTTAAAGCCTTCTGTGTTTTTTTTTTTCACTTTCGAATGAATCAGAAACCAGAAATGAGTGGAATGCTATCTTAAGTCAAAAATCTGTTACAACCTTTATAAATACTACTTAAATGAAGAAAGATAAAAAACCCCACAAAATTCCAACTGATAGTTACCCCATTCAGACACTGGTGAATATGTCCTTCAGTCCAAGCCGACCTTCCTCCTCAGAGGTAAGAAAATCTTTTAAACTAAAATATAAGAAAGACTTGCTTAACATTGCTTTTGAAGAGTTCTGAGAAAGAAAAAATATGGATTATATAAAGTTTTAGATATTAACTCCACTGCGTATCTCATTGTCTGATTATAGTTATTTTATTACAGTTCTTTTATCTGTAGCTGATTGTACTGGAACCCCCAGTGCATTGATCCTATCATTTATTTTTTTTTAATTCACCTTGTGATGCTCTCCATAGCTTAAATACCACAGAGCAGTCTTGATTACTCTCTTGCTTATACTTTTGACTCTTTGCCTCTCTCTCATTTCATAATACTGCTTGGCAAAACAAAAACCCTGGTTTATTGAATTCTTCACCTATGCTATACCCATGCCAGCAATGGAATGTGACTGGAAAAAAAGTATACCAACATGAAGACTGTTCTCACTTTAAAGTCATGACCATGAATCTAAAGAAGAACCTTTTGCTGGTAGGCAAACAGACTATCTTCTGCTCACTCACTTTTCTACTGTTCTAGACAACTATTTCGTACCTTTTCATACCCTCAGTACCTTCTCCATTTTCTCTTCAACTGTAATCACTTTCATTCTACTACTGCACCAAAATTGTTCTTGTTAAATTCACTTCTACATCACTAAATATGTTGTTTAATTCTCACCCCACATATTCTGATCTATCTGTGCAAAACAGTTGAAACTGTTGATCACTCTTCTTTGACATAATTCCTTTACTTTTAGCATACACATATCTTGGTTTTCCTTCTACTTGTTCATTTTCAGTCTTCTTTCCTGGTTTTTCTTCTTTTTGATCTCTTAATATTGGAGAATTTCAGGAGCCAGCTCTTTGTTCTCTTCTGTAAATGCACTTATTCTTTGATGATCTCATTCAGTATAATAGCTTTAAAAACCAACTTTATGCTAAGGATCCCAAATTTATATCCCCAATCTAGTCCTCTTTCCCAAACTGCAGATGTGTATTTTCAACTGCCTGCTTGACATCTCCACCTGGATGGCCAGTAAACATCTTAAAATTAGCATGTCTCAAACTGAATTATGAATCTTTTCCCCCTCCCCTAAACATGTTCTATTTGACTTTCTGCATCTCAGGTGATGGCAAGTCCATCCTTTGACTATCTAAGGCCAAATACCCTGGAGTTTTACTTCTTTCTTAAACTTCACTTCCAGTGTACTGACTTTAGCTTCAAATTATATAAAAAATCTGACCACTTCCCGTCATCTTTACTGCTAGTACCTTGGAGTGAGCCACCCCCATCATCTCACAATTTAATTATTCTGATAGCTTCATAACAGTTTCCATTTTCTTATCCCTTACAACCTAATCTATTATCCCTTTAATAGTTACTAACCATAGCAAAATTTGCAAGTATAACATTATATGTGTCCTAATGTGAGGCAATATGAAATACAGGGCACCATTTATAAAGTTTTATGCCCCTAGGTGACTAATTTGCATCAGTTGAAGGCTGTACAGAGAGATAGAGAACTTCATTTCAAAAACGCTTATGAAATGAGGTTGGCTGGGAAGATGGCAGAATAGGAGGACCCTAAGCTCACCTCATTCCATGGATACAACTAGATAACATTCATATCAGTGTAAATAACCCAGAAAATGACATGAAAAAGACTAGCAGAACAGACTCTTCAACTAAAGGCAGGGAAGAAGCCACACCAAAGGAGTTAGGAAGGGCAAAGACATGGTCTGAGAGCAAAATGGACCATGGCCATCTTCATTGGGCAGAGAACCAGTGGTATGGAGAGGGGTGGAAAATAGATTTTCACACCAGGGAGCCCACGAACAGGGAGGACAAATCCCTGTAATATTTGCCTTTGTAAATGAGAGGGGCTGAATTTCTTGAGTTCTAACAACCAGTGCGACTTAAAGCCTGGAATTTTAAAAGTCAGCAGGCTCTGCTCTGGGAGAGGACAGAGGGCAGTAGGAAGTGGAGGCCCTGCCCATAAAGAGCTCACAAAACCGCCCATGCAGATACAAGGTAGAACCAGCAGTTAGAAAAATGCTGGGGGAAGGAAAGTGATTTGCTTATCTCAGAGCATAGCCCAGAGACACAGGGATCACCAGGAGACCCCTCCAGGAACAAAGGAGCTGGTAGGTGCCATTTCCCTCCCCCACCCTCCAGAATAAACAGTGGCCACTTGTAGGAACCAGTTGTTACCTAACTTGCTTGCACGAAGCCCTGCCCCCTCGTGCTTTGGCAGATCAGCCCTTCCCAGTCCCACTTGCCTCAGACCTGGTGCTACAGGTTCTTCCCCCAGTGCAAACCCTGCCAGCACCAAATCTGCTGACTCATGCATTTCTGATAGTAGCAGGAGCAGGTCTTATTTCATAAGCAGATGACCACATACCTTGTTAAAATGCACCCCATTCCTGCTGGGGACAAAATGATACTCATAATAGGCAAAGAGAGCCTCTGCAGACGACTAAAGGAAAAAGAGGCCAAGACTCAACAGCAGAGCATATGCAACACACATAGGAGGCACTCCCTAAAGCTCCAGGCCCTGGGGAATGGGACATTGCACTGCAGGGCACTGTAGGACCTCTTCTTCATAAGACTGTTATTGTTAAGAGCAAGAGAAATAGCTGACTTTCCTAACACAGAGAAACAGACATAGAAAGTCAAACAAAATGAGGAGACAGAGAAATCTCTCCCAAATGAAAGAATGCAAAAGACCACAGTGAAACATATAAGTAATATGCCTGATAGAGAATTTAAAGTAGTGATCATAAACATATTCCTGGACTTGAGAAAAGAGTGGAGGACATCAGTGAGACCCTTAAGAAAGAGATTAAAAAAAAAATCAGAGGGGCACCCGGGTGGCTCAGTTGGTTGGGCAACTGCCTTCGGCTCGGGTCATGATCCTGGAGTCCCGGGATCGAGTCCCACATCGGGCTTCCTGCTCGGCAGGGAGTCTGCTTCTCCCTCTGACCCTCCTCCCTCTCATGCTCTCTGTCTCTCATTCTCTCTCTCAAATAAATAAATAAAATCTTAAAAAAAAAAAAAGATGAAGAACACAGTAAGTGAAATTAAAAATACATTTAATGGAATAAATGCCAGGCTAGATAAAGCAGAGGAACAAATTAATGACCTGGAAGACAAGTAATGGAAAGTAACCAAGCTGAGCAAAGGAAAGGAAAGAATATTATGCAAATTGAGAATAGTCTTAGGGAACTCCGTGACTCCATCAGGCATAATAACATTTGCATTATAGGGATCTCAGAAGAAAAGAAATCAAAAATTACATGGAAACAAAATGAAAACACAATGACCCAAAATCTTTGGGCTGTAGCAGAAGTGGTCCTAAGGGAAATTTATAGCTTATAGCAATACAGGCCTACCTCAAGAAGCAAGAAAAGTCTCAGAACACCTAACTTTACACCTAAAGAGCTAGAAAAAGAAAAACAAAACCCAAACCCAGGAAAAGGAAGGAAATAATAAAGATTAAAATAGATACAAATGATAACTTAAAAAAAAAAAACCAATAGAACAGATCAATGAAACCAGGAGCTATTTCTTTGAAAAGATCAACAAAATTGATAAACCTCTAGCAAGATTCATTAAGAAAAAAAAAAAGGACCCAAATAAAATCACTAATGCAAAAGGAGAAATAACACCAGAGAAATACAAACAATTGTAACAATATTATGAAAACCTATATGCCAACAAATTGGACAACTTAAAAGATATGAGTAAATTCCTAGAAACATATGACCTACCAAAGCTAAAGCAGAAAGAAATAGAAAATTTGACCAGACCAATTACCAGCAATGAAATTGAATCAGTAATCAAAAAACTCCCAGAAAACAAAAGTCCAGGACTAGATGGCTTCACAAGGAAATTCTACCAAACATTTAAAGAGTTAATACCTATTCTTTTGAAACTATTCCAAAAAATACAAGAGGAAAGAAAACTTCTAAATCCAATTTATGAAGCCAGTATCAACCTGATACCAAAACTAGATAAAGACACCATAAAAAAAAAAGAACTACAGACCAGTATCTCTCGTGAATATAGATACAAAAATCCTCAACAAAATATTAGCAAACCAAATCCAACAATACATTAAAAAAATCATACACCACAATCAAGTGGGATTTATTCCTGGTATGCACAGGTAATTCAATATTCATAAAACCATAAACATGTATGTAATATCAATAAGAGAAAGGATAACCATATCATTTCAATAGACGCAGAAAAAGCATTTGACAAAGTACAACACCCATTCATGATTAAAAACTCTGCAAGGTAAATCTAGAGGGAACGTACCTCAACATAATAAAGGCCTTATATGAATAACTCACAACCAACATCATACTCAGTGCTGAAAACCTGACAGCTTTTCTCCCAGGGTCAGGAATAAGATAAGGATGTCCACTCTTACCACTTTTATTCATCATAGTACCAGAAGTCCTAGCCATATCAATTAGACAACATAAATAAAAGGCATCCAAATTGGTAGAAGGAAGGAAGAAGTAAAATTTTCACTATTTGTGAATGACATACTATATATAGAAAACCCTAAAGACTCCACCAAGAAACTAAAACTCATAAATGAATTCAGTAAAGTCACAGGATACAAAATCAATGTATAGAAATCTGTTGCATTCCTATACACTAATAATGAAGCAGCAGAAAGTGCAGTTAAGAAAATAATCCCATCTACCATCACACCAAAAACAATAAAATATCTAGAAATAAACTTAACCAAAGAGGTGAAAGACCTCTACTCTGAAAACCATAAAACACTGATGAAAGAAATTCAAGACCGTGCAAAGCCATTCCATACTCATGGGTTAGAAGAGCAAATATTGTTAAAATGTTTATAATACCCAAAGCAATCTACAGATTTAATGCAATCCCCATCAAAATACCAATAGCATTTTTCACAGAACTAGAACAAACAAACCTAAAATTTGTATGGAACCACAAAAGACCTCGAATAGCCAAAGCAATCTTGAAAAACAAAACTAGAGGAATCACAATTCCAGATTTCAAGTCATATTACAAAGCAGTAGCAATTAAAACAGTATGGTACTGACATAAAAATACACACATAGATGAATAGTACAGAAAATCCAGAAATAAACCCATAATTATATGGTCAATTAATCTTCGACAAAGAAGGAATGGATATACAATGGGAAAAAGTTTCTTCAACAAATGGTGTTGGGAAAACTGGGCAGCCACATGCAAAAGAATGAAACTAGACCACTTTCTTTCACCATACAAAGAAATAAACTCAAAATGGATTAAAGACCTAAATGCAAAACCTGAAACCATAAAAATCCTGGAAGAGAGTAATTTCTCTGACCTCGGTCATAGCAACATTTTTCTAGATATGTCTCCTGAGGCAAGGGAAATAAAAGCAAAAATAAACTATTGGGACTACATCAAAATAAAAGGCTTCTGCACTGTGAAGGAAACAATCAACAAAACTAAAAGGCAACCTATGGAATGGGAGAAGATATTGCAGATAACATCCAGTAAAGGGTTAGTGTTCCAAAGTATGTAACAAACTAATACAACTCAATACCCAAAAAACAAATAATAAAAAATGGGCAGAAGACATGAACAGACATTTCTCCAAAGACATCCAGATGGCCAACAGACACATGAAAAGATGCTCAACATCACTCATCATCAAGAAAATGCAAATCAAAACTACAATGAGATATCACCTTATACCTGTCAGTATGGCTAAAGTAAATAAAAAATACAAGAAACCAGTGTTGGAAAGGATATGGAGAAAAAGGAATCTTCTTGCACTGTTGGTGGTACTGCAAACTGGTGCAGCCACCATGGAAACAATATGGAGATTCCTCAAAAAATTAAAAATAGAATTACCCTTCAATCCAGTAATCACACTACTGTTTACCCAAAGAATGTAAAAACATTAATTCAAAAGAGTACATGCACCCCTATGCTTATTACAGCATTACTTATAGAAGCCAAACTATGTAAGCAGCTGAAGTGTCCATTTGTAGGTGACTGGATAAAGAAGAAGTCTTTATATACAATGGAATATTATTCAACCATAAAAAAGAATGAAATCTTGCCATTTGCAACAACATGGATAGAGCTAGAGAGTATAATGCTTAGTGAAATAAGTCAGAGAAAGACAAATAGTATGTGATCCTACTCATATGTGGAATTTAAGAAACAAATGAGCAAAGAAAAGGGGAGAGAGACAAACCAAGAAACAAACTCTTAACTGTAGAAAACAAACTGATGCTTATCAGAGGTGAGGGGGATTGGGGGAATGAGGAAATAGGGGATGGGGATTGAAGAATACACTTCATGATTTAAAAAATCTTAAAGAAACTGTACTATGCTATGTTTTTTAAAAAAGGGATTGGAGAATTGAGTTAAATGACATCATGAGTTAATAAGGTAAATTCAGAATGTAAAACATTCTTTAAAACAACTGGCCCAGTCTCTTCAAAAAGTTAATGCCATGAAGAAGGGGAAAAAGAAAACAGGTCTGGAAGAATTTGTGGATTAAGATTTTTAAGGATGTGACAAACCAAATGCAAAGTGTTATCCTTGATTGGATTGTAGATTGAAAAAACATTGAGGAAATCTGAATATGGAATGGATATTATTTTACATTAAGGGATTATTTCTTAAATATGAAAATGGTACTGTGATTATGTTGGAGAAATCCTTATTTTTAGAAGATGGTTGCCAAAGTACTTAGGAGTATATTTTCACAATGTCTAATTTACTTTGAATGGTTTATCAAGAAAGGGATAGAGGATGTGAGGACAATCTGCAACATTTGTCATCCCATTGATCGCCAAGATTGATTTGGCTGATCTGGCTGGCTAGGTGTGTGTCCTCTTCCTCCCTCACAGCTCCATGTGCATCCCTCCCAAAGCTGCATGCTGGGTTGAAGAGGAGGACCTTCCCCTATAAAGGAGCACCATTCTTCAGTCAAGGATATACGAGCAGCTGTGCTCCCCTGCTAGAACCTCCAAACAAGCTCTCAAGGTCCATTTGTAGGAGAAGGTAGGGTAGTCAAACTTCTAAGACTCAAGACATCCAAATAAAGCACTGCACATGGCAGTCTGTCTTTAAAAAAGAGAGAGGGTAAGAGAAAGTAAATGTGGCATGATGTTAACTTTTGAATCTACATAGTAGGTATTTGGGTATTCATAGTATTATTCCTTTTATTTGTATGTATGTTTAGAATTTTTCTTATTAAAATAAAACTATAAAATGAATGTCAGATGTTGTCCTTCTATTAAAACCCTGTATTGGCTTCCCATTTTCTGAAATGAAAGATCTTACAATGGCCTGGAAAACCCAATTTATTTTGTTCCTTGTCTCCCTCATTTTTCTTACTTTATCTCTTACTGTTCCCTGCTTCAGTCATACTAGCACACTCTCACCTTAAGACTTTATTTTAGGGGTGCCTGGATGGCTCAGTTGGTTAAGCAGTTAAGTGCTGCCTTCAGTCCAGGACCCTGGGATCTAGCTCCCTGCTCTGCGGGGAGTTTGCTTCTCCCTCTGCCCCCGACTCCACTCTCTATCAAATAAATAAAATCTTAAAAAAAAAAAAAAAAGACTTTTGCTTTAGCTCTTCTTAGAACTCTTTCCCTCTGCATCATCACTTGGCTAATTGTTTCTTCCCCTGCAATCTTTACTTCAATCTCACCTTTTCTATAAGACCTACCCCAGACTATTTAAAACTGAAACCTACTTCCCCTTTTATCTTTCCAATTTTCCTTACCCTGCTCTTCTTATCCTTTTCCCCAGTACTTAGCCCTTTTCTCATGTACTATATAACTTAGAAGTGTTTTATATTTAGTGGTTATTGTCTGTGTCCCTCACAGGCCTGGGACTAGTCTGAGGCAAATGAGTCACTTGCCTTGGGTGCAATATTTAAGGGGCACACACACAAAAAACCTCCATAATTAAGATAAATAATCAATACAAGATTTTTTTTTAATGGAAAACTGATGCAAAAGATCCATAAAAGCAACATTTTAAATAGAAATAGAATCTGATAGTGCTATGCCTAGCCATTTTGGAACCTGAGGCAAAAGGCAAAATATGTGCCCCTAAATATACCTTTTAGTATATTTTTAAATGGTTAATAGTTTTGATGAAAATATTACTGATGAGCTTGCTTCCATGAGAGCCAGGAAGGTAAAATTATAATAAATTCATGTTTTGATATAAATAGAATATTTGACCTTAAAATAATGTGAATTTTAATATATACTTTTGAAATTTTCAGTATTTTTTTCAACTACTTGGTTATTCTGGAAAAAGTTGACCATTAAGAAATGTATTTTTTTTTTAAGAAACATGTATTGAAGTTCGTATTTTTCCTTTTTCCTCAAGTCTCTAATAGTACTAAATTCTGTCTTTATTTAAATTTTTGATATTTTGTTTATCATGAAATTTTTTGCATTAAGTAGTGGTTTTTTTTTAATGTTATTTATCTTGATTACTGAGGTTTTCGTACAGCCTTAAATTTTGTAGCTGAGGTGAGTGCCTCACTTGCCTCACCCTTCTTCCTATCCTGATACCTCATTAGAATGTAAAACTATATGCAGGCAAGGATCTTTGTCTTATTGACTGCATATTCCTGTTGCCTAGACCAGTGCTGGCACATGGTAGACATTCAGTAAATATTTGCTGAGGGAATGAATAAATACAAATTCACTATAAATTATTTTACACAAATGTTTTATTAACTATATTTTCTCTGTATTGCCTACTCATTTAATTATGGAATTAAGTCTGTACAAACACCTTTACAGTTCATTAGTTATTATAAAAATATTGACAGAATTTACTTGGTTTATAAGAACAGAGTAAAATGTTTAGTTCAATAAATATTTTTTTCCTGTAAGTTATTAATGCATCTATATAAAGGATAAGGTCATATTTACTTAAGTCTTCTGAAGGTTTTGCAAATATATAATTGTGTAACTATTAAATATTCTAGTATTAATAGTATAGTGTAGTGTTAGCTAAGAATAGTATAATATAGCTAGGGAATTATCTTTTAAATGCTCTGGTGTTCAAAGTATAGCATATGGCAAACTTCACATCAGATCTATACATGTATCAAATACATAGAAATAATTTACTTGGTCTATAAAAACAACTTGAGCAAAACATTCAGTTCAAAAATGAATTTTATCTCCTGTAAAAATTTCTATTTTTAATGATAGGTCATATTCAACTTTTTAAAGTTTTTCTCAGATATTTAATATTGTAGAGCATAATCATTTAAATTTTAATATGCAATGAATAACATCATTAGACTAAAGGATAGGAATATTTGCTATAATTGTTCTGTTTCTGTTGTCATAATCTAAATATTCTTCTAAATAGAAGGATTCTAATTGAGGTTTAACAAAACACTAATAGAAAAGAAAGTGGTATTTATAAGGACAGGCAAGCTAAGCTGACAGACATGACCTATGTAAGAACAACCATTTCCTTCCCTATCACCATCAGGAATAGGTTCTTCCTAGAATCCTGGGAAACAAAAATATTTCCCAAACCACAGTATTCACACTTTGCAGTTGCTAAGAACTAGCAATTATCACAACTATGTTAGGGAGACAATATGTAAAGTGTAAGGATTCCACAAGATCACCCCAATGGAACTGAGTAGGTAGGGATCAGGGGAAAGGAAAAGGTTGGTAACCGGAAAACTGATCTTGGTGGTCTCGTACTCTTACTTCAAGCCACAGAAAGAACACTGTATTCAGAGGTGTTAGGGTACCCTAGGACCACATCTCTGACATTGTTTTTAAGGAGATGTGCTCCAAGTGCCAAGTAGCCAACTAACCAAAATTTCGGCTCTTCATTTTGTTTTCTGTGTTTGTTCAGAAAGGATGCACGTATTCCATGTTTATTTCAATTATGTTTATTAAGCTTAAAATTCTAGAGGACATCAGTTATTTTTTTCACTTTAAAAATATTTTAACTGACATTCTTCTCAATTTATTCAGTTGGTGGAACTTCATGTTTTCTATGTCCCTGAAGGATCGTGGAACTATAAGCTAAATATCATTTCAATAGAAGTTGTTAACAAATTCATTTCAGCTGGATTTATAAGGCAAGTATTTTGTGGTCATGTTATAATGTGCCTGAAAAGCAATTTTTTTTTCTTCAGAGAAAAATGTTTTTTGGAAATTTAAGTTGTAAGTGAAAAACTCTGGTCCATATGATGGATCCCGTTTCTAACTTAATACGATCAATAAATAATGCTATGTAACAGTTAATAAGTACTGTAGAAACAGATGTCACTCAGCCAGGTGTCACTGACACCCAGAGAAAAGGGTGTAACTGGTGTATTACTATCATTACACACGAAGAGAAATAAAAGAGAAATTATCTGTATTTAGAAACCTGTTGAAGAGCTGTGGATAGTGATTAAATCAGTATATTCATGGGGCGCCTGGGTAGCTCAGTTGGTTAAGCAACTGCCTTCGGCTCAGGTCATGATCCCGGAGTCCCGGGATCAAGTCCCGCATCGGGCTCCCTGCTCAGCAGGGAGTCTGCTTCTCCCTCTGACCCTCCCCCCTCTCATGCTCTCTGTCTCTCATTCTCTCTCTCGCAAATAAATAAAATTTTAAAAAAAATTAAAAAAAAAATCAGTATATTCACAATGACTTTTTTCACTGAACTGTTTCAAAATAGAAACAGATTATATGTGTACATACACTTACATATATGTAATATGTAAATGTATATACATATATGAAGCACACATGACATTATTCCTTATCTTCCCCATCACTTCAAGCATACTAGCCTTGTTTTTGTTCTGGAACACATCAGACATGGACCTACCTCAGGACCTTTGTACCTGCTGTTCTCTTAGTCTAGAATGCTCTTTCTGCCATTAGATATCCTATCTCTTCTTTAGCTCTTTACTTCAATATTACTTTTTTGTTTAGATCTTCTCTGATCACTATATTTAAAATTGTAGCTACGCTCCCTTCCCTGCTTTATTTTTCTTTATAATACTTAGCAGTGTCTTACGAATTATATGTTTTCTCAGTTTTTTTTTTTTCAAGATTTTATTTATTTATTTGAGAGAGAGAGAATGAGAGAGAGCACGAGAAGGAGGAAGGTCAGAGGGAGATGCAGACTCTCTGCTGAGCAGGGAGCCCGATGCGGGACTCGATCCCAGGACTCCAGGATCATGACCTGAGCCGAAGGCAGTCGCTTAACCAACTGAGCCACCCAGGCGCCCTGTTTTCTCAGTTTGTCTATTTTTCTTTCCCACCATTAGATTTATAAAGTCTATAAGAGCAGAGATTTTTGTCTCTTTTGTTGATTGCCATATTCCCATCCTTAGAACAATGCCTGACACATAGTGGGGGCTCAATAAATATTTTTTGGTTAAATGAATTAATTACATAATGTTTCCCATAAGATCCTAGAAAAACAAAAACTCAAAACAGTAGCATAAATGATGGCTTTAAATTTTAGATGTTGAAGAGTGAAGTATTCCTAATGAGCAAAGATGTGGAGCCTGACAATACTTGATTATCAAAGAAATTTTTAAGCACTAGCTAATCCTGTCAAACTTCCAAAATAAATATCTGTGGCTAAATCATTCTTTAATATATGTATAAAAGTTTATAAATTCCATAGCAAAGTTTTTTTTTTAATAATACAGTTCAGAGTATCCTTCTGTGTTGATGATGAGAAAAGTAGACAAGCATTTTCCTTTTCAGTACAGAAAGGACTTTTATAAACAGTATTTATTTGCATAATCATTTTATTTTTTAAAAATTTCCTGAAGTTTTACAAAGTGCCACACAATGTAAAAACACAATATATTGATCTATATATGATACATTAAATTAGTATTTATGTTTGAGATAGCTGACTAATGTTACAGAATTTGTAGTATAGCTGAAACCTATTTCATTTTACATTATAAGGCAATGTCATGATATTTCAGAGTATCTCCTCACCTTACTTTACAAGCGCTGAGAGAGCGACTTGGTGAGTTCCTTGGTGAAGATGCTGTTGCAGAAAAATTTTTATTTCTGAAATGCATTGGAAATAATCTAGCTGTGGTAAGTTTTCTTATTTTTTTTCTTTTGATTAAAAAAAAGCATAACTTAACAAATTATGTTTTTTAAATGCTTATCAACTCAGCCTCTTGTCAGCAGAGCTTCTATAAATGGGATAAGTATTATCAATCATAACAAAATATCACTAAATACATAGATCATCAAGAAAGAAATGGGTCTTATTGGCATATTATTGGGCACTAAAATGATGGGGATATTCTGGGGTGTGCACTTCCTTGGGAAGAAAAGACAAAGTTAAAATGTGATTATGTAGGTAATATATATTTTTAAATTTAAATGAGTGTTTACAAACTTTTTTTTGAGAGAGAAAGGACGCGCATGTGTGTGCATGAGCTGGGGGGGTGGGTGTGGGGCGTGGGGTAAAGGGAGAGAAAGAATCTTAAGCAGTCTTCACATTCAATGCGAGCCTGACATAGGCTCAATCTCACAACCCTGAATCCACATCATGAGTCAGCCACTCAACTGACTGAGCCACCCAGGTGCCCCCTAAAACATTTAAATAAGTACTTCTGTTCTGGACAAAAATGGGTCCTCATTGTTTGGGCCACAGCTAGCCTCATTTGATGTGAGATGATAGGACTCCAACAATTTTTTGTTTGTTTGTTTCAGCTATTATCTGTTGAACACTCCTGTTTATAGTTTCTTGATTTAATGGCAGGATTTTCTAAGTAGAATTTTCCTAGCTGAAATTCTTAATCCAGCAAGCTATCAGATCTCAAAGTTTCTGGTTTCTTTTAACTACATAAGGTTTATTTCTTTAATGAAGATTTTCTATATTAAACAAAAATACTGTATATCTCTATTTCACTCTAATTAACATATTATGTCATTAGTATGTATTTATGTGATTGTTTATTTAACATCTGACTCTGCCATTAGACTATATTTGATTATCAAAGAAATTTTCATGTAACTCCCTGTGAGCTGGGACTTTATTTTATTCACAATTGTATTTATACAGTGCCTAACAAGGTGTTTAGCACTTAGAGGCATTTAAATGTTTATTGGACAAATTAAATAATGAATGATAATGGGGAAAAAAAGCATTCCCAAAGTAAAGGAATTTGCTATGTGGAATTCTCAGGATCAGCAGCTAAATATGAAGTTTTTGTCATTTGAATTCTATTCAGGATGGTAAAATATCAATTTACTCATCTTTAAGTTTTTCTCAAACAAGGAAGAAAAAGAACAATTCTCCTGACTTTTTGTTCTTTTTCATAATACCTAAAATACAAAATATCAATCACAGAATCCTATGTTGGAAGAGAACTTAATAAAGATAATTTAAATCAACTTCTGAAGTCCTAATATTTATTGATGTTTTTCTATAAGCAAAATGAGAAAAAAGAACTGGATATGGATCCTGCCCTTAAAGAGTATTCACTGTCGTGGTGAAGAGAGAATACATAAATAATTAAAATAGAGTATTTTGTATATTCAGAAGAAAAAGGGACTTCTTCCAGCAGGAGAAGAGGGGAGATAGAGAACTTTCAGTTTGGATCTTGAAAGATAAATATTTGGGGGCACCTGGGTGGCTCAGTCAGTTAAGCATCTGCCTTCGGCTCAGGTCATGATCCCAGAGTCCCGGGATAGAGCCCCTCATCCAGCTCCCGGCTCAGGGCTCCCTGCTCAGCAGAGAGCCTGCTTCTCCCTCTGCTTCTCATTCGCGCGCTCTCTCTTGCTCTCTCACTCTTTCTCAAATAAATAAAGTCTTTTAAAAAAAAAAGAAAGATAAATATCTGATCTTGCAAAAATGTTGGGTAGGAAAAGCTTTCTGAGCAGAGAAAATAGAACAAGCACAGAAGTGGAAAAACAGGCAACTAAGAAAGTAAATGTTTCCTTTTTTATTGGAACATGGTGTAAAACGTGATAGTAGAGAACAAGTTGTAAAGTGATTTGTTGAAGGTCTTGAATGCCAGATTTGTTTGTTTCTGAAGCATTGGAGTTTTTGAGCAAAAGATGACATGATTGGAGCCTTCAGAGACTAGAGGCAGGGATTGTAACTAGGAGACTTTAGGAGACTTTTGCAGTGGTTAGGCCAGAGATACGGAGGGCCTAAGGAATAGCAGATAAAATCTGCTGCTATTTTTCTTCTTGGTTCTCCATTTCAAACACAAAAATCCTTGGTCCTGAAATACAACAAACTCCTTTCTGATTTATGATCTTTGCACTTGCCTGGAAATTACTTCCCCATGATTTTCAAATAACTTGCTTTTTCTTTTCATAATTCAGGTCTCAGGCTCAAGTATTATCTTTTCAAAAGGGCCTTCTCTGACCACCTAGTTTTTAGATATTCTTTCTCTTAAGTTGCTCTCTATTACATCAGTTTTTTATTTTCATAAATCACATATCACTATCCTAAATCACGTTTATTTAACATCCATTCTCTTAAGTAGAATATAAGCTACATGAGAGCAAGGACTTTGTCCTGTTTACCATTGTATCTCCCACCATATAGAACCCATAGTTCTGACCCATAGTGTGGGTCTGCCTGACCCATAGTATGCCCTAGTATTTGTTGAATGAATGGATGGATGGATGGATGAATAATAAATGAACTCTGTGGGTTGTATATTTAGAAAATAAAGTACACAACATTGGACTTTGGAGCCAGATTATCTGGTTTTGCATCCCAATTTGGAAAATTCCTAGTTATAAAATCACGGGCAAGTTATTTAACTTCTCTTTCCTCAATCTTATTGTCTGTGAACTATATATAATATGTGTGCCTATCATATGGAATTGTGAAGATTAACTGAGCTAGTATATGTAAAGTACTTAAAATAGTGCTTGGCATATAATGAGTCCATGCAAGTGATAGCCATAATTATTACTACTAAATGACATAGAATTTCTTTTATGTTTTGTATAGTGAATAGAAATAGGATTATGTTCTACATTTTCTAGACTCTAGCCTTAGTTATCAGCTTTTAGATTTGATTTTTATGTCACAGGTATGTGCCTTCTGCAAAAAAAAGGAATAAAAATAATTGAAAACTTACAAAGCTTTATATTTTTTTTTGTCATCTATTTCTAGGTGAAGGTAAAGCAAGAATCGGAACTGAAACTCAAATCATTTGCTCCTCCATATGTATGTAATGTGACATTTTAAACTTATGTTAATTTTTTTAACTTACTGTTTTTTTAAATTACAAACTAATTTTTTTTAATTTCCTGTATGTTTTAGGCTCTTCAACCAGAATTATATTTGCTTCCTATAATGGATCATTTAGGAAATATTTATTCAGCATCAACTGTTTCTTTAGATGGGCAGCAGACTAATAATGGTGTTGCTGAGGCTGATGGAATAATCCACAGACCACTTAGTGTAACTTTGTTGAACGAAGAACCTGGAACAGATCCCAGTTTTTTAGTAAACACTTTGAAAGAGCTTCTTAACAAAAATCAGGAAGAAGGTGATTTCAACTGGAATGGGAAAAACAAAGAGGTTATTATAGTACGTTTTAGTAGTCAGGTCTGTGAGCAAATTCTGGGCAAATCTAGCCTTACACAAATGTGGCAGTATAAAAGGAAAGCTACAATTCCATTTGGGGATTTTTAAAAATAGTTTCACCAAGTGAGAGAAAAAAAATTTACTATGTTAAAAGCCAAATCAAAATACTTATCACACTTAAATAAACTCTACTACCTTCTTTTATAATAGTTTCAGATAAAGTTAAGGCTAAAGGAGAAAGGAAGTGATCGCTGCATAAAACCTTGGTGTTATTACTATAAGTGAGAAGGATCTTAGCCACAATAACTGTATCAAATCAAAGCAAATCAACTTTAATGCTGGGAGACATTTGTATTTCAAAGAATCAGAAATTTTTATATGATTACATTCATCAATGTACTGATAGTTCAGTTCTTAAAAAATGGTAGATAAAATTAAACATATAAATAAAGCTGGAACTATACTATAAGAACTTACTGAAAAAATATTGCATAAGGAAATAAACTGTTCGTGATGGAAAAGCAAATATACTAAACATTTATAAATGAACCCCTCCAATTAATGACAACATCCATTACAGCTGCAAAATATACATGTTCTTAACCAGTTGCATTTTTCTCCATCATCAGTTATAGCCATTCTTACATTCTAAGTTTGTGCTATATCCAATGATAGTTCAAACTTAGCACCTTCTTTAGTATTTACCCTTCTGACATGTTTTATTATTTCTGATGAGACATGTGGATGAGATCCACCTATTTTTTTGATGCCAGTGAGATGTTCAGTGAGAATCTTTACCTCCTTGATTTAGGCTTGTCTCTCTACAGTGTTAAATACTGTTTTCCAGTCATGGTATTACTTAAAGGTTAAAGGGGAAAAATACCTGGGGAAAAAAATTCAGAGTAGAATCCCAGCATTCCTGAAAAGTACAAGGTCAAGTGGCTGATGAAGTGGGCAGTTGCCTACATAAAGCTTCACAGCTTTCACATCCTGGGCTACTGGCCAGATATTTGCACAAAACCCAAAAAAATCTTTGGTGGGAGTATTTAACCCTTGAATTTTATACAAGTGTAGTTTTTAAATTGTATTAATTTCTTGGTGCTTTACTCCAAAAAAAGTATGCTGGCCAGCATATGCTCATTTTTAAAAAGTTCTAGAAACACCAATAACTATGAAGAAAAAAATTAAGATTAAAAATAATTCTACCATCCAGAGATGGCTTCTGTTAGTATTCTGGTTTATATTCTTTTAGTTATTTTTTTCAGTTCTTATATGTAATAAATATTTTTAACTTTTAAAAATGAAGATACAAACCCTCTTAGAGCCTCTTCTTGTATTTTAGAATATATTGTAGATATTTCATATCAATAAATATAGATCTACATCATTATAGAATTCCTTGTGGTATAACTTATGTACCCAACACTGTATCAGTGTTTTTGCTATTATGAATACTGCTGCAAGCAACATTTTTCTAAGTGCTTTGTGCATTTGTCCTGTTATTTTTTTTTATTAGAAGTTTAATGACTGTTTCTAAGGCTGTGTTTTTTGTTGTTATTCTTTTTCTTATAAGAACTTTTCAACATTGTGTGTCTTCCTCTGGTCACATCCTCTTTCTTCCTAGAGATAACTACTACTTTGATTTTTTTGAGATAATTGTTTTCTTTATAGTTTTACAACCTAAATATGTATTCCTTAACAGTAGTTTAGTTTTGTATGTTTTGAATTGCATTAAGATGGAATAAGATTGAAAGTATTTTATTTTTGACTTCTTTTGTTCAACATTGCAAGATTCAATCATGTTTCACATAAAATACCATTTCATTTTTTCATTGTTGTATAATATTCCATTATATGACTATACCATAATTGACTTATTCTGATGATGGACATTTGGTCCGCCAGTTTGCGGGAATTACAAATATGCTTTTATGTACATTATTGTACATGACTCTTAAATGTACATGTGCATAAGGATATCAAGAGAGTGTACCTAGCACTGGCATTGTTTGTACATATTCAGCTTTACTAAATAATGTCCACATGTTTTCCAAGGTGGTTGTACCCAGCAGCAACATCTGAAAGTTCTATTGAACCATAACTTGCCATTCTATCAGATATCTTCTGTCTCCTGTTTCTCTGCTGTACATTTTGGATAATTTCTGCAGATTTTTCTTCCAAATCTATTTTACTGATTCTCCCTTTAGTTGTGTCTTATCTCCTGTTAAATCCTTACACTGAATTTTTAATTCCAAATATTTTTCTTTTCTAATGGTTTTCTTTGGTTGAACATGTTTTCATATGTTTAATGGCCATTTGGATTTGCCTTCACTCAAACGTTTTGCTCATTTTTCTTTCTTTTAAATATTGATTCATTTAATTTACATATATATTTTTTCCACGATATGTGTGTGTGTGTATGTCTGTGTGTGTGTGTGTCTGTTTGTATATTTAATTCACTCTAGATTTTAGTTCATGGCTTGTCTTTTTATTATCTTTATGATTCTTTTGATGAAAGGAATTCTTAAATTTTGTCAACATGCTCTAAGTGTTGCAAGGATTGTGTTGACATCTTCAACTCTTTATCAGTTTTGCTTATGTATTTTGAAGCTGTTATTTAAATGCATGCACATTTAGGATTATCATGTCTTGATGAATTGACCCCAATGTGATTATGTAATGTTTCTCTTTATTTCTGGTAATAGTCTTTATTTTAAAGTTTATTTAGTCTGATATTAATATAGTCACTCAAGCTTTCTCTTTATTAGTGTTTGCATGGTGTATCTTTCTCCATTCTTTTATCTATTACTGAATATCCAAAGTGGGTTTCTTGTAGACAGCAAATATTTAGATCTTACTTTTTAGTCCAGTTTGACAATCTGTGCCTTTTACTAGGGGTGTTTATTTAGACCACTTACATTCAATATAATTATTGATGTGGTTGGTTTTAAATCTGCCATCTTGCTATTTGTTTTCTATTTGTCTCATGTCTTCTATCTTCCTAGTTTTTCCATTTTCTTGACTTTTTCTAGATTGAGAAGTTTTTTATGATTCACTTTTATCTCCACTATTGGCCCACTATTTCTCATTTTAGAAAATTGTTAGTGGTTGCTATAGGGAAGAGGTCAGCAAATACCTATATTTATACTTTTTTAAATTTTTTTTTTTAATTTTTAAGTAATCGCTACGCCCAATGTGGAGCTCAAACTCACAACCCCAAGATCAAGAGTTGCATGTTCCACTGACTGAGCCAGCCAGGCACCCCTATTTTATTTTATTTTATTTTATTTTATTTTATTTTATTTTATTTTATTTTAAGATTTTATTTATTTGAGAGAGAGAGAATGAGAGACAGAGAGCACGAGAGGGAAGAGGGTCAGAGGGAGAAGCAGACCCCCTGCTGAGCAGGGAGCCCGATGCAGGACTCGATCCCAGGACTCCAGGATCATGACCTGAGCCGAAGGCAGTCGCTTAACCAACTGAGCCACCCAGGCGCCCCCCTATTTTATTTTAATCCACACCTATGGCTTGTTTTCATAAATAAACTTTTATTGGAACACAGCCATACCCATTTGTTTACATATTTTCAATGATTGTTTTTATACTACAATGACAGACTTGAGTAGTTGTGATAAAGACCAAATGTCCATGAGCCTGAAATATTTAGTATCTGGCCCTTTAAGAAAAGGTTTGCTGACTCTTGCTCTAAGGTATGCATAATACACTTTTAATTTGAAGTCTACTTTCAAATTATATACAACTTCATATATAAGAACCATATAGCAGTATTACTTCTATTTCCTCCCTCAATTCCTTTGTGCTATTGTTGTCATATATTTTACTTCTGTATATAACTCCACAATAAATTTTTACCATTTTTACTTTACATTGTTAGTTATCTTTAAAGAAATTAAAAGTAAGGGAAAGAATGACTTTTTATATTTAGGAGAGAGTTGTTCCCCCCACCCAGTGGTAGTAAACCTATGCTTTGTATCAGTGCATGATCCTGGGCCCGAGATGATCCTTACAGCTTTTGCTTCTACCCTTCCTTTAGGCCTTTATCTGACTGGTGATGAGAGGGTTTCCTACCCCCTCCCCAGTGATAAGACTTTTCAAAGCTAATATTGTTGGAAGGAGAGTCACCTGCTTTCCCCTTTAGAGCTGATGGCTTTTGCCTCAGTTCCTCCATGAGAGCCAATAGGTTTTTGTGTGGGTTCTGAGATGGGAGAGTTTCCTGTTCCTCCCCGCAGTGGCTTAAGTCTTGCTTTGTGTGAAGGGGTTTCTCTCCTATGTGTCAATGATGGCTCTTTCAGGTCTCCGGCTCTACCCCCAGTCTTTCCTGTAAGTATGGTACAGGCACATGGAAAGGAGCTTGCTATTAAGTATTGACTTTCCTTTGTGTTTGAGGATTCCAGAGATTCTAAACTATCCTGGTAGCCTACATTGGCCTTTAGAATTCCTTTAAATTTTAGCTGTTTTCTTCTTATTTCTTTTAATAGTAGTTACTCCTTCCTCCTGTGGTCTGCCAAAGATGAAACAATTTTCTCCTAGGAGGGAATTGGAATTCAACTCCTTGCAACTATAATTCTCTAATGAGTTCAAGAAAATTTATTATTTTATAGATTATTTACCTTTTTCTCCTTGTTCAAGTGGGAGCACTGTTTCATCTTTCTATAATCCTAAGCAGAAATGAAACTGCAGTTCTTAAATTTTAATATCATCAAGTTTATTGGCATTTTCATTTATGGGTAGTTATGTCTTTTTAAAAAATCCCTTTTCTGCCCTGAGATGTAACATTTTATGGTTTCCTTTTCCAATTTAGTTTATTAATCTACCAGGAACTAATTTTTATATGTGATGTGAGATAAAGTTCCTTAATTTTTTTCCATATGTTGGTTGTTGTGCAGTTTCTTAAAAATGCCAAATTACTCTTTTGTGGTACATGAGAATGCAAAATATCTGAGGTCTAACATTATGATATTATTAAATATAGCTGTTAAGAATGTGCATAGTGTGTTTTACAAGTCCTTTAATGAAGGAGACAGAGTAATGCTTTACTCATTTTCATATTGAAATGGGTATTCTCTTCCATTAGATATCTTCTGTTCTTTCCCATGGGTCTGTGCTGCACACCTCTACTTTTTTGTTTAATGTGTTTAATACTTGACTCTATTGTTGCCCCCAAACAAGTATACTTTTTTGACTTCTTTGGTTTCATCATTCTTCTAGTTGTTCAGACTTTAAGCTTTGAAATATTCCTCACTGTAGAATAATAGATTGTTAGAGTAAAGGAACCTTGAAAACCATTTTGTAGCCTCCTTGCTTATAATCTGCTTTCCAGTCTGTTCTCCAGAACGTAGTCAGCATCATTCTTCTTGTTACAGGCTGGATTATTTATCTCCCTGCTTGAAAACCTTTGAAAGACTCATTAATTACTACTTAAAGTCCAAGTTCTTTAAGATGATATAGAGAACGCTTTGTATTCTGACTTCAAACCCAGGGTTGCAAACCCAGGGTTGCAAATGTTTGGCCATGCAGATTGTTCACTGCCTAATGCCAGAAGGCTTCCTTTACAGAGATCATGATATGAATGGAGCTTTCAGGATTTGCTTAATGTGGTAGTTGGTTCGGTAACTTTTAGCTATTATCATTACTACTACTACTACTACTACTACTACTACTACTACTACTACTACTACTTCTACTACTATAGTTTGGGGGTAGAAGGGGAGGAAGAAGTACCATGAAGTACAACTGGAGAGGTAAGTAGGGACTTGAACTGCAAGGGCCTTGGTTCCAAAACTAAGGAATTTTTAGGCAATGAGAAGCCATCTGAGCTTGTGTTTATTTCAAGTTTTTATTTAAATTCCAGTTAATTGGGCGGTGGGAGGGATGGGGTGGCTGGGTGATAGACATTGGGGAGGGTATGTGCTATGGTGAGTGCTGTGAATTGTGTAAGACTGTTGAATCACAGACCTGTACCTCTGAAACAAATAATACATTATATGTTTTTTTAAAAAAAAGAAGATAGTAGGAAGGGAAAAATGAAGGCGGGGAATCGGAGGGGGAGACGAACCATGAGAGACTATAGACTCTGAGAAACAAACTAAGGGTTCTAGAGGGGAGGGGGGTGGGGGGATGGGTTAGCCTGGTGATGGGTATTAAAGAGGGCACATACTGAATGGAGCACTGGGTGTTATACGCAAACAATGAATCATGGAACACTACATCAAAAACTAATGATGTAATATATGGTGATTAGCAAAACATAATAAAATTTTAAAAATAAAAAAAATTCCAGTTAGTTAACATACAGTGTAATATTAATCTCAGGAATAGAATTTAGTGATTCATCACTTATGTATGACACCCAGTGCTCATCACAAGGGCCTGCCTTAATACCCATCACCATTTAACCCATCCCTCCATCCACCTTCCCTCCAGCAACCCTCAGATTGTTCTCTATTGTTAAGAGTCTGTTTTATGATTTGTTTGCCTTCCCCCCGCCATTATTATATGTTTCATTTCTTAAATTCCACATATGAGTGAAATCGTATGTTATTTTTCTTTCTCTGACTTATTTCACCTAGCATAATACACTCCAGCTCTATCCATGTTGTTGCAAATGGCAAGATTTCATTCTTTTTGATGGCTGAGTAATATTCCATCACACACACACACACACACACACACACCACAACTTCTTTATCCATTCATAAGTCAATGGACATTTGGGCTCTTTCCACAGTTGGGCTCTTGTTGGTAATGCTGCTATAAGCATATAAACATTGTGGTGCGTGTGTCCCTTCGAATCAGTATTTTTGTATCCTTTGGGTAAATTCCTAGTGGTACAATTGCTGGATCGTAGGGTAGTTCTATTTTTAATGTTTTGAGGAACCTCTATACTGTCTTCCAGAGTGGCTGCACCAGCTTGCATTCCCACCAAAAGTGTAAGAGGGTTCCCCTTTCTCCACATTCTTGCTAACATCTGTTTCCTGTGTTGTTGATTTTAGCCATTCTGACAGGAGTGAGGTGATATCTCATTGTAGTTTTGATTTGTATTTCCCGATGATCAGTGATGTTGAGCATATTTTCATGTGTCTCTTGGCCATCTGTAAGTCTTTTTTGGAAAAGTGTCTATTCATGTCTTCTGCCCATTTCTCAACTGGATTATTTATTTTTTAGGTGTTGAGTTTAATAAGTTCCTTATAGATTTTGAACACTAACCCTTTGTCAGGTATGTCATTTTCAAATTTCTTCTATTCCAAAGGTTGCCTTTTAGTCTTGATTGTTTCCTTCACTGTGTGGAAGGCTTTCATCTTGATGAAATCCCGATTGTTCTTTTTGTTTGTTTGTTTCCCTAGCCTCCAGAGACATATCTAGTAAGAAGTCACTATGGCTGATGTCATAGAGGTTGTTGCCTGTGTTCTCTAAGATTTTGATGATTTCCTGTCTCACATTTAGGTCTTCCATACATTTTGAATGTATTTTTGTGTATGGTGTAAGAAAGTGGTTCAGTTTCATTCTTCTGCATGTGGCTGTCCAATTTTCCCAACACCATTGGTTGAAGAGACTTTTTCCATTGGATATTCTTTCCTGCTTTGTTTTAATGGGAGTAACATGATTGGATTTCAGTTCTGGAAAAACAACTTACGTTACATTATGGAGAATAGACTGAGGTAATAAAGACCTGAACTATGAAATGCAGTGGAACTGAAATCAGAACTTGAAGTCAAGAGACTCCTGAAGATTGGGTGCTGTGCTGCGTGCTTGACATGTACTCTGCCATTTTAGAGATAAGAAAACTTGGGTTAGAGAAGTAACACCTGCTGTGACAGTGCCTGTGTTTGACTAAAGCCCATGCTTTATGTATAACACTGTGCTAGAGTCATGCTGAACTTTTCACTATTGTCAAAAATGATGCATATTTTAGTACTCCGTATCTTGCAAATGCCATTTTCTTTGCTTAAATTCTTCTTACTCTCTTTGTCAGGCAAACATCTCACAGTTCAAAACATAGTTTCACAGTTATCACTTCCTCTTCTCTGAATCTATAACATTTTGTGCATATATTACTATAGCTCTCAAAACACTATTACGATTTTTTAAAAAATGAATAGACCTTTCTTTATGTCATTAAATTGCAGAGGTATTGAATGGTGCAGTCATCATGCTCTAAGCTGTTACTAGGAATGAGATACATGTGCCATATCCCTATCACAATTACTCAAAATCTGAATTTTGCATTGTTGTTTCTTTCTTTGGGTGGGTGGGGGGATGGTATTTTACTATTAGCTTTTAAACAGCTGATATATCTGGGTTTTGTTCATTTTGCGTCATATATATCCTTTAGAAAATCCCTGTTTGTTGTTCTAAAAAGACTATTTCAAATGTACCAGCTGGGAAATGTAGCTACTAGACTAAAATCAGTATGAGCTTCAAGTTGCAAAATTTTGTGGCAACCCTTATAAATGATTTTTCAATTATTAACATGACTCATTAATTTTTTCTAAATTAAAAAATTTGATTTATCCACAGGAAAAATATCTGCATTAACACTGCCAGGTTCATAGATCTTTTGTTCATATAGATCATATAGAACATCAGTGTTAACATTTTAAAGACATTGCATAGTTTTCCTATATGGGGATATTTTGTTAAAATGAAGGGAGGTTTTATAAATAGAAATGTATGTGAAATAACAAATGACATTATATGCTCTGTATTTTCCAAGAAAATTTCCTCAATACAGTTTCAAAAGATGCTTTTGGCAAAACTTTCTGAGGACAATTAAGTTTGAATAAAACCTAACTTACCCCCATCTTGCAGATTCACATTGTACATAAAAACAGAGAAATCCTGCGGGGGGGGGGGCGGTGTATATTCCTCGTATTCGTTTTTTCTCAAACTGAATTGACCAAAGAATTCTTCACATAAACTGTTTCATGAAATTCACTTTGGAAATTGTTGCCTTATATCATGAATTGTAGAGTCCATGGAGATTCTGAAACATGGGACAAGATTATAGTATGTACATATATATATATATATTTGTATGAAATTTTATTTTACTATTTTCTTAATATTATGAACTTTATTTGCCATGGATGAACAGCAACATCAGCTGGGGGAAAAGCCACTCCAAAAGAAAACCAGACTGGAAAAAATCAAATTGGAAATTCTGAAGTTCCAGGATCATTGGGAGAATCAAATAGTGATTATTTTAGCAACAAAAAAAGGTAATTAGTTTAGATGTTGATTCCACATATCGTAGTCTATAAGAAAGAGTGAGCTATCCAGGGTACTTTTATAAGGACTTCTAATTAGAACAAACATATGAGTGAAATTAGTGATATTTTTAGTTAAAATGACCTTGATTCTAATCTCTACTGTTATATACGAACATTCCTCTCTAATGAATAATTTATCCCTTAAATTTATTTCCATTATAATTATTTTATCATCAAGGGCAGAGTAATGACAGAAAAATTTGTCTTTATTTGCCTTTATTAGAATTTTTCTGCCTCACTTAGATTCTTGGTTATGGGTAAACTAACCAGTGTGCTTGAGCTTCATATGGAATCATTTCATTCAGAATTACAGTATTTAGACAACAGTTTTGCATATAGTCTTTTGAAGTTAAGATAAGGGATTTTATAAACAATCATTCTCAAAAGAACTACAAACAAAATATGTTTCCAAAATTTTTATTTTACTTTGCTATAGACATTGCAATGTGATTTGAATTTAGCTGTAATATAATTAAATATGATTTTCTTATTCAAACTAAATGTAGTTTATGTTGATCATTAATGAGTTTGAAAGATAATATACTATGGTCTCAGGCTTTTTAAAAGGTTTTAATGTTACATTTGTGTTTATAGAATATCAAATAAGATATAAAATGTGAATAATATTCATGGAATCTTTTTTTTAATATGATTTTCAAATCTGTCATTCCCTTTAAGTCAATTTCTTTGGAAAAATGAAGATGATGGAGTTAATATCATTAGAACAGAGGACAATCAGGTATGATTTTAAAGTTTTTGTTTAAATGCAGTATTGCAACAACATTTATACTTAAATTGAAACAAAACTGCAGCTTAAAATGTTTAAGGTTATAGGATGGGAGATAAGCCTCAAGAAAATTCAGGAGCTTACCATTTCAGTGAAATTTTTGGGTGTTCCATGGTATGGGTGGGACATGTTGAGGTACGCCCTTTAAGTGAAAGCTAGGTTAGGATATCTTGCCCTAGTTATCACTGAGAATGAGTCATTTGATGGACCTCTTGAATTTGGAGAAAGATTTGCCACATTTGGATGTGCTGCTTCAGATTTTTTGTTTTGTTTTTTGTTTTTAATCAAGTAATCTAAAAGACACCAGCTTTGGGCGCAAAGCAAGAGAAGGTTCAAAGGGTGATCTGAGAGACATTGCAAGCAGTGTTGCCGCTTGTGTTTTAACGGCCAGCGCATACAGTGCTGCTGCCTGATGTGTAGTAGATTGGAATGCTGACTGGAGTCTGAGACAAGCCCTAGTAGGGGAATCACAGCTCAGGGCCCTTGGGTTTTAGAGCAAAAGGAACATCATCTTCAGTAATTAATTGTTGTTGTTGCTGGATATTAATAAAACATGCTATCTTCATGCTTTGAAATTTTTGTCAGTCTAGCGGATGCTTAATGCTATCCATGGTTTGAATTTTAATTTCTCAGATTATCCATAAAGTTGGTCATGTTTTAATATTTTTACGGACTCCATTTTGGTAACCTTTTGAAAGTACCTTTTCAAGTGTTTCTTTTGAGTTGTTTGCTATATGTTTCTGATTAGTATAATTTTTTTAAGTACTCTAAAGATATTTCTTTGATGCTTATGTATGTTGCAAGTATCTTCTACTCTGTGCCTTGTCTATAGTCTACCTTGCTGAATGCCTTAAGTATTCCATATCCTTATTTTTTCCGTATCCATATTATTTTCTCTTGCTATGTCGTAGACTGAGAATGGTATATTAGAATCTCCTATTATTAGTGTGTTACTGTTTATCCTTACATCTCCTGTGGTTTCTGATTTATTTAGATTTCTATATGTTATTTGGCACAAAGTTCTTATGTGAACACTAGAATAACTTTTGCACTTTTTTGGCCCTTTTAATGCTTTTTTTTGGCCCGAATTCTTCTTTATTGCATATCAAGATACTAACCTGCTTTCTTTTTGTATACATTTATTTGGCATACCCTCATCTTCCTTCCCCACTTTTTATCCAGCCTTTCTGAATTGCTTTGTTTTCGGTATGTCTTTTTTTAAGATTTTTATTTATTTATTTATTTATTTATTTGAGAGAGAGAGCAGAGCAAGAGAGAGCGAGCATGAGCTGGGGTGAGGGGCAAAGGGAGAGGGACAAGCAGACTCCCTAGTGAGCAGGGAGCCCAATACAGGGCTTGATTCCAGGACCCTGAGATCATGACCTGAACGGAGGCAGACGCTTAACTGACTAAGCTACCCAGGCACCCCTAGGTATGTCTTATATGTACAGCTTAGATAGAGTTGGGTTTTGCTTTGTGAGACAGTCTGAAAATATTTTTCATTTCATAGGTGAGTTACGTCTGCTTATGTTATTGATAGGACTGATGTGTTTGTCCTGAGATTTGTCATTTTATTTTATGTTACAGTTACTGTGAGTTACTATGTAGTTTATTTGTACTTTTCCCCCCTCCTCATTTTAGGAAGGTTGTATTTTTGTTCTAGTGCTTACCTTTACACTAATACATTTATACTAGTATTCTTAGTCTTTTTCCTTTTTTAAAAATGTATGCTTCCGCTTTTGTTACCTCTAAAATTATCCACTGACTCCTACCTGTTATATTCAGGGGGATCAAAAAAATCTCCTTTCTTCTCTCATGTATTTTTAATTGTGTTATTTCTACTGTGTCAAAGAATATAACATTTTTATACCATACTTCTACTCTTACCCCCTCAGCTTTTGTTTTAGTCTCAGATCTGTAATTAAATATATTCAACACTTACTGCCAGTTCTTTTGCAGATTTTTCAATCATCTCTTCATTGGATTAAGCTCAATTTAAAAAAGCACCTCACTATAATATTCTCTTCTTCCACATTTAAAACTTTGTCTAGAGCAGAGTTAAGCAAACTAGGGCCTGCAGACTGTTTTGTAAGGCCTTGGACCTAAGAGTGTTTTCTACATTTTTAAGGAATTGAAAAAAAGAAGAATCATGACAGAGACCATATGTGGCCCACAAAGCCTAAATTATTTACTCTCTGGCCCTTTACAAAATTTGTTAATCCATGTTACAGAATTTTGTTACCTGAAGGATAGCTTGATCTTTTTTCCTTTCAGTTCCTTTGAAATGTTGCTCTACTGATGTCTTATTTTATATATGTTACTAATAAGTGTGGTGCCTTGTTTTCTTTTCTTTGTACACTAGCTTGCGTATATTTGTCTGGAAGGCCAGAGGAGTCCTTTAATGTGTACTAGTTTTACCAGACGGTATCTCAATTGAGAATTCTAGATCAGGTTTTTCTGGGTACACAGTGGATCCTTGCAGTGTGAAAATTAGGACTTCTTTATTTCAGGAATGTTTTCTAAAATTATAATTTCAGAAAACAATTCAGTTAGTAGATCCATTCTATTGTTTTCTTTTTTTTCTTTACCTTTTATATATGTTACTTTCTCTAAATAACATATAAAATAGATATAAATAAAAATAGTAAAATAGATATATTTTACTATATTTTTGTGTTTCATTTTCTTTGCTCTTTTTATTTGTATTCTCCACTATCCTTTTTTTCGCCATATTTGTTCCTTCTTGGATATGTGCTAATTTGTTCATTTGTGAAACAATTTTGTTTTTCCCTTAATTTCTTTCTTCAGTTTAGCCAACTTTCATTTCATATCTTCCTGTTGTTTTTCCTATTTTATTCTGAGTTTTAAAATTTCTGATTTGTGTTGTTGGTATCTACAAATGCTTGCTTAATTACATTTAATCTATATTGGAAGTATTGTTAAGTCTTTCTCTGCTTCATGGCTGCCTGTTTTGTCTTCTGTTTTGAGGGTTTTAAAAAGTAAATTTGTGTGGATGCTAGATTATTTTGTATTATGTTTACTTGTGTTGGATTTCTCCATATAAGTAATAATAACAGGTGTTCTTCCAGAGGAACAGGGAGTGGTGGTTTGGTGGTTCTTTTGCTTTTTAGATAAGGAGCCCCCTCTTCTGTTGATATAGCGAAATGCATCTATTTATTTCTTAAATGGGGTCTTTGGTGTCTATTTTCTTTGAATTCTCTTCTACTAATTTAATTCAGCAGAGCTGTTATCTTGGCCACTTTCTTCTTTTCTCTTACCACCTGGGCCTAGGGAACACCTCTTCCAAAGTATTTTTCTCTCTCCTAGAAGCTGCCTTCCCATGATTACAACCTCTGGCCCCCTACATTTTATAATCCGTTTCTTTTGGCCTCCTCATCAAAAGTGCTCTGACTTACAAGATCTTATCCTTACTCTCAGTATTTCTTCTATGCATGTGGGGCCCTCTCCTTCTAGACTAAATCGTGGTTGTTTATTGTGTTATCTTTGTATAGCAATCTCTAATGCACAGTCCACATATGCTTGTAGGTGGGCTCCTGAGCACACTCTGCTAATCTAGAGTGTTTATTTCCCCACTTATATGTAAAGTAAAGTATGTGTAGATTAAAGGAGTCTGTGTCCTAGTTATGCTGTAGACATAAATTATGGGTAATTTTATTTGCTTTCCTTTTATAGTAATTGGGAAGATATATGGAGAGATTGTAATTTAGGTGGTTGCCATTAACTTATTGGAACCTGAACATTAAAAACTAGGAAAAGAACAATAAAACAAAGGGGTAAGGATTTAATGAAGATAGAAGAAGAAACTAAGAAGTTACAGAAGTAAAAAACCTAGCAGAATTGAAAACAACTCAAGATCTATGAAGTGCTAGTGAGAGAAACATCAACATTGGTAAGGCTTAAGGTAGTTTATCGTAAAAGGGTGGTAACACAAAAGTTAGGAAAGGTAAAGGTGATACAAACAAATACAGAGCAGATAAAATATATGAGAATAAAATATATGCTAAAATTTGAAAATGTAATACATATTCTAATTTTCAAAGCAGATATAAATTATCAAAGTTGACCCAATTTTAAAAAAATCAATAGTCATCTTAGAAAAATTTTAAAATCATAACATGTAACTAAGAAATCTTGGAAGGAAATCATGTTTAGGAAGGATTAATGGATCTTTTTTTTTTTCCTATTAAGTGAAGTGCCTGTGTATAATATCCAAGGAATAGTGGAATGGAGAAGCTGGAGCACAAGAGAGAATCTCTATAGTTATAAATAAAGATTTGGGAGTTCGTCACCATATGAGTAAAAAAAAATGCATTGCTGTTGTGAATTATCAAATGCTTACAGATAGGTGAAAAGTAATGTGTCATCCTACCATATCCTACTGATTTTCATGTTTGCTTACAGATAGGTAAAAAAGAGTGCATCACCCTACCAGAGCTTATTGATTTTCCTTCACTTCCTTGTCAACCTGCTCTTTCTCCCGGAATAACTGATACCTCTTTATTACAGATTGAAAGTAAGTATGATGACACTATAAGTACAGATGATTCTATGAGATAAAGTTAACTATTAATGGGAAGTTATTGCCTAATGGGTACAGAGTTTCAATTTGGGAAGATAAAGTTCTAGAGCTAGATGGTGGCGATGGTTGCAAAGCATCGTGAATGTACATAATGCCACTGAACTGTACATTTAAAAATAGTTAAAACTGTAAATTTTATTATGTGTATTTTACCACAAAAATGTTACATTATTTTAAAGTATGTGAATTATATGTTAATTACTGCATATGTTTAATCACTAATATTTGTGCTTTTAAAAATATACATTTCTGGGGGCACCTGGGTGGCTCAGTCTGTTAAGCATCCAACTCTTGATTTCAGCTCAGGTCATGATCTCAGGGTTGTGAGATTGAGCCCCACGTTGGGCTCTGTGCTCAGTGCAGAGTCTGCTTGAGATTTCTCTCTCCCTCTCCCTCTGCCCCTGCTCATGTACACACTCTCTCTCTCGAAAATAAATAAAATCTTTAAGTATATATGTGTGTACACACACACATTTTTCATGTAAGGACAATAAGTCTAGGTCCAAGATAAATTTACCAAAAGAATTAAACCAAGATGCATAACTACTTTAACTTTACCTAATTTCTACACATATATGTAAATGTAGAAGAGACATATGATACTCTTTACTTATCTGAAAATCCCCTTATGTATCTCTGTTAGAAACTGAAATGACTCCTCAGTATTTTCCATAGTGGCAAATGCTATACTGCAGCAAAAAAACCAGACTTTTGGGTAAAATTTACTCTTGCTATTTTAATTACTTTTAAGTTTTACACTTCCAGCTTTTAGCTTTTAGACATTGATGGGTTATTGCCTTTTAGGAGAGAAGATTATTGAACAAATGAAACAAGTAAAGGAAGAAAGACGATATCTGGAAAGAATTAGAGAAGAACTAATAAAAAAAGTTGAAAAGCTATTTGAACAAAGCAAATTAAAGCGATATCATGGTAAAGTTTATTACATCTTTTATCACTGGCATGCTTTACAGAAGGTTTTTAAAATTTTAAGTTCAAATTTTTTTATAACTGACATTTATTTATTCATTATTGTCTACTGAATTTATAAATGCCACTGTTCTAGGGACTCAGGAGATAATAGGCAGACACAATTTTGTCTCTGCCCTCAAAGAGCTTATAGTCCAGTGAGAAAATGATAATCAAGAAAACAAAAATGATGCATCCTGATGATGCCATGATAAAGGAATTACAGAATTGTACACACAGGAGTACAGAGGAAGAACACCCAAATTAGATGGAAGAGATCAAGAAAGGCTTCCAGGAAAAGCTTTAAGTATGCTAGAATCTGAAATGTGCCTCTTCTTGACTATAGGCCTTCAGACATGTTTTTCCCTCTGTCAACTACACCTTTTCCTTCTGTCTCCCCTCTTCCCAGCTCACCTGGCTATTTCCTACTAGTCATTCAATCTTAGCTTAGATATCACTTACTCTAGAAGCAATCTCTGGATCCTAGTCCTCCCTACATGCTTAATTTTGTGCTATGTGTCTATCTACTTTGCTAACCTAAATGAGTGAATTGAAGGAATGAGAGAAATTAGGTAGAAAAGCAGCTAGTTTTCTTGCAACAGAATTAGAAACAAGTATTATTAGGACTGGTAGACATGGAAAAAATGAGCCAGAATGGAGAAAGTATGGGATAATGGTTTGAGAGATGTTAAAGGGTTTGAAAGGACTGCATTTTGGATTGTATTTGAGGATTATATGAATAAAAGGTATAAATGGAATTAACTGGTTTTAGGATCCTCAATTTACAGCAAAATTATTGCTTCAGTACTAGAACTGACTGAAGGTTATAGGCAATGTCAGGAGATAATTCTGCAGGTTCCACCTCATAATATTAAGTGTTATCCCGGAAATGGTGGCAATGACTCGGCTTTTTTGTACTGTTAAAAGTGATTTTATCAGATAAATTTGAGTAATGGACTAAAAATCATAGATTTTGAGTAATGGACTAAAAATCAAGATTCTAATACCAGATCAGTCTTTTACTTATTTCTCCTCTTTGTGCCTCCCTTTTTCTGTTTATAAAATGAGAATGATCATTCACTTTCTATTTTAACAGAAATGTTTCAAGATAAAAGGCATGTATCAACCATCAAATATTTATTGAGGTTATGTGCTCCATTCCCTACATTGTTTTAAATGCTGAGGATATAGCAGCAAACAAGATAAACAAGGCCCTGCTCATAGGAGCTTGCTTCTAATGGGAGGAGACAGACAGTAAACAAATAAGACAATATCAGCTACTGACCAGAGCTCAGAAGTCCATTTAAAAAAAAAAGCATAGTAAAGGGTGATGGGGCAGGAGAGATGCTTTAGCTAGGGTTTTCAAGGAAGGCATCACTGAGGCGATATCATTAAGATATGATTAATAAGGAGGCAGGCAGGTAAAGAGAGGGGGAAAAAAACAGTCTGAGCAGAAGGAACACTAAAATGTCAAGGTCTAGAGATGGAAATGAGGTTGCAGTAGTAAGGACCTGAAAGGAGGCCAGTGTGGCTGGAACGTAATACAGAGTAATGTAGAGGAAAATAAAAGCTCAGCAAGGAACAGATAGGCCAATTCAAGAAGTTTAGATTTTATTCTAAGTAAGGTAGGATGCCATTGTTGGGTTTTTAAGCTAGAGGTTTATATGATTTAAAAAATATTTTTAAAAGATCAGAATGACTGCTGTATGGAATAGTCGGTTAGAGGGGCAAGAATGGAAGCAGGGAGACCAGTTAGAAACATAATGTACTTTCAGAAGATGATAGTGGGGTGCCTGGATGGCTCAGTCAATTAAGCATCTGACTTGATTTCAGCTCAGGTCATGATCGCAGGGTTGTGAGCTCGAGCCCCATGTTGGGCTCTGCGTTCAGTGGGTAGTCTCCTTGAGATTCTTCTCCCTCTCCCTCTGCACACACACACATGTGCACGCTCTCAGGATAAATCTTAAAAAAAAAAAAATGATAGTGGATTGACTAGGGACATAACTTTGAAGAAGGTAGAATGTGCCAGATGCTGGAAGTATTTTGGCAATAGTACCAATAGAACCTGCTGAGAGATTGGATATAAGGCATGAGGGAAATAATAAACTCTTGAATTTTAATCAAATCACCATATAGACTTTTTAAATTTGGGGTTTTCATTTCTTTGATAATCTTTTAAACATATGCATATTCTGATATAGTAGCATACAGTTTGTGTTCCTGTTAAGTTTGTATTTAGACTCTCCTTGGTGTCAAAGTGATTCCCTAAATTGGCAGTATTTAATTTCTAATTTTCTCAACTAAGGGGCTCAGGTTTAAGATAAGCTTGGAGATATATTTGGAATAATTTTAATAAGTGATGAATCAGAATCAGCTTATTTTATAAAACATATTTTGGGGGCTGAAAAAATATTATGCCTTTCTGTTTATCATTTTAATTAATGACTTCAAATCAGATTATGGAAAAAAGTGATCAAAATAAATAGACACATTTTCTATAGGTAATATTTTTAATCAAGATTTTTCAGAAATTACAGGTTTAAAGAACTTGGTTCCTATGTTTATCACTACTATATTCATAAGGCAAATCCTTTTATCTAATAAACATTTCAGTCTTTGCTTTAATTTCCTCAACATATGAATGAGGGAAGAAGGGTAGGGTCGTAGAAGGGTTTAAATTAACTCGTGTCCTTTCCAGATTGAAAAGTTTAATCCTTTAGTCAGACTCACACTATAGTCTGCTTTTTTTTGTAGCCTGTGATGGTTGGAAGAAAAAATACTTTGAAACAAAGAAAATTACAGCATCATTAGAGGAGGTTTTAACAAAACTTCGAGAAGATTTGGAACTTTACTATAAAAAACTGCTCATGCAACTTGAAGCCAGGGAGATCAAGATGAGACCAAAGAATCTGGCAAACATCACAGACTCTAAGGTACTTATTACTAAATGTGTTCACCTTCTATTAGAGAATTCTACTCAAAATACATGGTTTATCATTATTAGTATTATCATATGTAGGATGCTTTGGGCTACAGGTAACAAAACCTTGACTTAACCTGACTTAAACAATACGAAAATTTATGATCTCATATAATGGTGCTGAAAAGATATAATCAGAAGCTTAATGATATCTTCAAAGAGACTAGGCGCTTCCAGTAGTTCTTCCCTATTATTTTCAGTGTTGGCTTCTTAATAAGACTGCTTTTCCTCATGGTACAAGTAGAGTTGCCAATGGCTAGTAGGGCTATATGCCTCCCAAATAATATATAAAATTTGGGCGCCTGGGTGGCTCAGTTGGTTAAGCGACTGCCTTCGGCTCAGGTCATGATCCTGGAGTCCCAGGATCGAGTCCCGCATCGGGCTCCCTGCTCAGCGGGGAGTCTGCTTCTCCCTCTCCCACTCCCCGTTTGTGTTCCCTCTCTCGCTGTGTCTTTCTCTGTCAAATAAATAAATAAAATCTTTAAAAAAAAAAGAATATTTTTCTTTTAGCCTGATGGGGGTTCAGCCAGGCCTAACCTGGATTAATAGTAGTTATTAGGGAGTGTTGTGTGCTAATTTAGACTACTTGGGATCTACCTCTGTACCTGGGGATACGGTCACTTTCTTTGAATCTATGGAAAAGAGATGAATACCTGATGAAATAACAGTATGCACTACATTCCTTTTCTGTAGCTGGGGAGTAGTTAATAAGACCCACAGAATCTAAAGGTATTAATATTCTAAGGAAATTATTAAATTGATTTTTTTCTTGATAGTATTGAACCTTGATAGATCAGAAATATGAAGTTTACTTTTTGAGTGATCCTGCCATCTATATACAACAAATAAATTCCAGAGGCCATTTATCAATTTTTGTTGGTTGACCAAAAAAGATTAAAAGTATGGATTTAACTTTAGACATGATGAAATAGTACAAGTTTGCTATTTTATTTTTCCCCAGTCTTCTTGAGATATAATTGGCATATAACATTAGATATATACAACATGATTTGATATATGTGTATATTGTGAAATGATTACAATGTTTAGTTATAAACTATTTTTCTTGTGATGAGAACTTTTAAGGTCTATTCTCTAAGCAACTTTCAAATACACAATACAATATTTTTAACTATAGTTATCATGCTGGACATTATACCCTCAGAACTTCACCCATTTCCCCCTATTCTCTACCCACCCACCCCCACAAATCTGTTTCTATGAGTAAAAGCTTACCATTTTAGATAAATCTAATGTAAAACTCAAATAGGTTCAAGTAATGGTTTGTCCATTTTAGCTGATACTTTTTATTTTGCATAGCTGATTTTTTGTTTTACCAAATAGTTTTTGTTGACCACTATACTTCATAAACTTTTCTAAACAAAAATAACCAAAAAGGCTTTTAAGTAATACTAATCTGATTCAGCTAATGAAGTATAATGACAATTTCAAAAGCTTTCCTAGTATCTTCCTTTTGTAGTAATAGTTCTTGCCTTTGTAGTGCTAATTTAATGGCAACTTGTACAGATATCTACTTATTTTTATAAAACATGAATAAAGGTAGTAGAACAGAAGAGAATGTGGTCCCTGAGACTTAAGAAATTTACTCCAAAGCAATGAGTTTATTTTATGCAATAGGTTATTCTTATGATTTGCTTTTTTGGTATTATCACTTCGTAGTTTACAAGGCAATTAAGAATAAAAATAGATGTTATAAGGAGGTCTTTATGTATTTCACACAGAATTACCTTATAATCCAGATCACTGAAGTACAGCATGCAATTGACCAACTTAAGAGAAAACTGGATACTGACAAAATGAAACTCATGATAGAAGTTAAGGTAATTTCCTAATCAGATAAACATTTATCTTGAAATAAGTTGTTTTAGTATTTTAATTTTGGGTATCAATAGCATAAGGATAGTAAGGATTGTCTTAAAATTGTTACCTTAACAACCAAGAGCAGGAGTGAAAAAAATGCAAGAATTAAATCCTGTGTAAAGGTGCATGTATAACAAGGCCAAAGTAAAATTAGTAGAATTTCCCTAAGATTTAAAGGAAAAGGACCTTCTGAATCAGTATATAGTCTCAGTATTTTAAAAGTAATTTTCATATATTAGAGTGATCCATAAATCTGACAAACCACTGAACTCTGAGCTCCATTTAGTTTTTTTTACCTGTTCTGGGGGTAATTATCTCATGCTGATTATTTTCATATATAATTATATAAAAGCTCAGAGTTCAATTCTTTATCAGAAATAGCTCTATGACATGAATAATGACCCCTTTCTAGAATCAGAACTTTCTGCAATGATACAGCCGCCACTAGCCACATGAGGATATTGAGCGCTTGAAATGTAGCTTGTTGTGTAACTGAGGAACTGATTTTATGATTTGTTACTCTAATGCAATTCTAGATTCTTTTCACTAGCAGCATTCAATTAGGCCTCTCTCAATTTTAGAAGGGTAAGATCAAAGTTCATTTTTGAAAGGTGATTCTTTTTATAGGTGAGAAAACAAGCAGTTTCAGATTTACGCACATTGAAAACTGAACCGGCACAGAAGAAAATTAACACATCTTTACAATCTCAATTAGGTATGTTAATTTAAAACTTATCAAAAAATTTAACCATTATTCTCCTTGGCACAATATTTTATATAAATCATATTTTTTCACTTGTGGATTTTACAAAGTGTTTCAGGAAAAAAAAAAGCAAACCGGTGGCTATTTAGTTAGTTTTGAAGCTTTTATTTTTAAAGACAGTTTGTTCATTGTATTTTAATTAAAAGCAATCTGGAAATATAAAATAGGGATATTGAATTTACATCCAGAGTTATGATACAGATTAGTATCTAAGAATTTAAAATTTTAGAAATACAAAGACAATAGTAGTAATTCAACAGATACTATGGAATTTTCCTCTGCCATAAATAATTGGGTAAATAGGAAATGAAATATTCTCAATTCCAATTTGAAGGCAGAGAGAATATACAGGGAAGACAGATTTATGTAAGTCCAGAGTTCAAAGATGCAGATTTTTAATCTGTGTTTATAGGAACTAATATAAGTGTAACACAATATTCTTAATTGCCCTAAGAGAACAGAGACCTCTGTACATTTAGAAAAATTCTAATTGTGCAGAGAAAATAATTGAGAAACCAATGTCTTTAATTAAAAGTAAAATGCATATATAAACTAAGAAATAAATTATTAGATGTTCATAAATGAAAGAATAATTAGAAAGGTAAAGTTTCTGCTATAAACTCATAAAAATAATTTTAGTGAAAAATATTAGGTAGCTCTAACCTACTAATTCAAAATATTATCTTGTATTTTAATCCTTTCCCCCCCACCCTGGAGACTTGTGAGTTTAATTGAAGTGCATCAGAGAACTATATGAAATCAGGAAGAGAAAAATTGTTCACATCAGCTTGATGAACCTAAATAAATTTATTGAACAAAAAGTATAGAGCAAATGGCTTCTCATAGTCTAGGTTTTTAAAAATCTACTCTGAGCAAATAATTTCCACTTCAAATTATACATATTTTTTAAATTAGCATAATAAAATTCTGAAAATTTTTCCCAATTATACTAAACATAGAAAAATAATATAGTAAGTTGATTTCTTACCTTTGTTTTTAGACAACCAAAGCATTTCTTTATCTGCTTTTAAGTAGAATAACTATGACATGACAAAAATGTGTACATTTAAATGTGTACATTTTTATCTCTTCAAGAAACTGATTTATACTGATTATTTTTCTAAATCTTAATAGTTTGACAAAACTATTATCTGTCACAGCTTTGGTTTTAAGACTTTCCACATTTCTTCAGTTTGCTGTTTGGCCACAGCATCTCCAGAATAGTCAAGACAATTTGCGTGCCACATGCCAATGCCTCGCAAGCCATGCTTTTGTATGTATGCTGCTTTTAAAGAAATGCTCTGAGGGTTATCATACCACACTTGATGAAAATGGCCAGAAGAATCCTATAAGAATAAATTAAACTATTCAAAAAGAATACAGTGAAATAATAAAAATTTTAGTGCACGGTACTTTCACAACAGCAGAGATTACACAAATGAGCTTTGTAATGTAGTCTGTACTGTTTTTAAAGTCCTTTTCATGTTCTCATGCCCTAAGATTCCTTCCTTGGTCTGATCTGATGATTATCAACCGAGATGTACAAACTCCTGGGACCCACATGAAACCTACTTAATCAAAATATTCCAGGGTTGGAACTAGGACATATATTTGTGTTTTGCCATCCCATTAGGTAATTCTGATACCTATGGTCCTCTAGAACCAGCTTATGCATTTTTTTGTACTCCCTACAGTTCCTGGAAATGTACTTAGGAGCTCAGCGGATGATTTTGTTCATGATGAATCAGCCAAATCAAAAGGTAATGGGTGGGGAAAATATCTCCTTTAATAGGTCTTACAGAATTAAGAACCATAAACTAGCCTGTAAAGTCCTCCCCAGCATCAACTGCCTCTATCTAGTACTAACACAGTCTCTCTTAGAAGGTACGTAAGCTATTGGATAAGGGATAAAAAGAACTAGGGAAAAGGGGAAAAGATAGGAAGTAAAAAATAGAATGAACTGTGATTTCAAATAATTTACTGATTTTTATATAACATCTGGGAAACTTTCAAAGGCAATTCTCAGTGGATGCCAGTAATATGTTTATGGTAGCACCACTGGAATTAGAGTAGTCCCCTAAGATTAAAGGACATTATTCACTTGGTAAATGAATAAACTGTGGCATATTTAAGTATAGTAGACTCGTTTACTACAAGCTCTTTAAAACTTTAACTTTGAAAGGCAACTTATAGAACTTAATTTTGCAGATTTGGGGGCAAACCCAAAGTCATAGGTCTCTGAATTTTGCCATTATTGTGGCAAGTACTTTGAGCCTTTTTGATACTGTTAAGGAATTTCAAATGCCTCAAAATAGTGAAGGGTGAAAAACTGAGTAAATGTAAGATTAACGTGTGCATGATGAAAGCGCATAAGAAAGCAGAATGATTCTCTTCAGTCACAGCAAGAAATTTGATTTTGGTTGCTATGGAATTTTACAATAAATGAAAGAGAAACAAAATAGTTTTATAACTAGATTGTTGTCTAAAGTGCCATTAAATGAATGGCCTTCAAAGGCTTATCAAAATGTTTCCTGAATTCTAAAACTTTAAAGAAGGTTAGTCAGGGACAACAAAAACACAGTACGTCAGAGTGTAAACTGTTTGGCAAAGACAGGAGTATAATATACCCTAATTTAATATGGATCTTAATTAGTTATATAGATTACAAGCCTAGTTAATGAATAGGTATAGAATTTTCAAAATTTAGAAGGCTCTACATCAAAGCTTTCTATGTAATTGATGTACATGCCTGTATAACAAAATGAAATATTAAAGAATTTATATTCTTTCTGAAATCAACTTACATCATGACATTTTAGGGCTCCTTTTACAGTGACAAAATCCAAAGTAAATTCAAAGATGATTTGTAATTAGATTTTTGAGGTGTAGAAAAGTTTTATTATGCTAAAGGTAAATTATGAAAAATGTAACTTTTCTTTGCCTCTTTGGTATAGCAATTCCTATTTATCTAAATGACCAGAGCAAGTCTGTCAGGTAGTGTTTCTTCAGTGTTTCTGTTTATAATATAATTTGTCTAATATCACATAGTTTATACCATTTTCCACTAATGCATTTCTTATTCTCAGCGTCATGCCTCCCTATAAAACAGCCTCATCAGAATCCTTAGGCTACTTTGAAATGGTGGCTTACAGAGCTAGTAACCTATTTTGGCCCAAAACCACAGTTATCATACATAATTATCAACTATTAAGGAAATCCTGTTTGTGATATAACACCATCTAAAATGACAAGTGGCCCATGCAGAGCAGTTCCATTATTACTATAACTTGACCTCCTCACTGGCAAAGTAAAGTACTTGATTAGACAAGTTTACTCATGTAAACAGTAGTCTGTATATTGTACCCTAAAAGAAAACGGATAGAATAAAGATTCATAATTTGTGAAAAGTCTTACTTTATAATTATAATAAGAAGCTTGCTGATCTTTATCCCAGTGGCTTCCAGAAATAGAACTATTTACTTGCTTCATAATTATTTTATAGGGCACCTGACGTCCTGAGGTAATACCACAAGAAGCCCTCCAGGAAGGGACTTTTGGAATGGTACAAACACAATCCTAGAAATACAACAATGTTCGTGTTATAGATTTAAGCAAATCAGAAAAACTATATTAGAAATAAAACGTATACTATAAATAGACTGACTATACAGAATAAAAGTTAAATTTCATTATTAAAATATGTAACACTCAGAAACTTCCATGGGATTAAATAATTAAACTCTACTTTTAGTCTCAAACTTCTACATATGAAACAAAACAGGCTTTAAAGAATAGAAAGAAAAAAATTATATAAGAAAAATCCTTACTTACCTCTAATAGATTTAGACAGGTATAATCATAACCATACCAGGGAACACCCATTACAAGTTTGTTAGGGCTAATGCCTATCTTGATGTAGTCATCATACCCTAATCAAATTGGGACAGAAAAAGCAGAAAGAAAAAACTTTTTCTTTTTATATTCTAATGGGTTTATACAAACTATGCAGCCATTCAGAATTGAAGTTTGAAAAACCAGGTACATTTTTGCAAAATAACTAATACAGTGTTTCCCTAACATGACATTATAAACATCATCCCTTAAGAACTATAAATTTTGTATCACTTAATAAATGATTTCTTTTTGAATAATAGAAAACAAAATTCACAAAATTTAATTCTGGGAAGAATAACATTTCAGGGGAAAGCATGTTAATTTTGTCTATTAACTGCTGAGATTTCTGAAGTTTCAGAAAAGTTCATAAACTTTCTGGCAGGGACGGTCTCAGAATTTTTTTTTTTAAGATTTTATTTGAGAGAGCATGCACAAGCAGAGGGGGAGCAGGAGAGGGAGAAGCAGGCTCCCCACTGAGCTCGATCCCAAGACCCCAGGATCATGACCTGAGCCGAAGGCAGACACTTAACCGACTGAGCCACCCAGGTGCCCCTCACTTGTGCTTTCTAGAATTACAGCCAGGGACAAGAAATGTCCCCTCAATCTGTAGTTATGGCAATGAGAAAAATGAACAAATTCCTGGTCATTCCCTTTTGTGCCCAATGCAAAATATGTTTTCCCACCAAAAGATATTGCAAGATTATCGAGAATGTTTAAGTAAATTTGTTTTTCAGAGCCTTTAAAGTTAATTATGTACTATTTAAATATCCAGGTCTCAAACATCCTTGATAATGAGCCTTTTATTGATAGAACACAGTTATCATCTCCTTTATGAAATACAGTTTGGGAACACTGGATTAAATAATTGCTTTGTAACTAACAATTTTTTTTATTTTTAAATAGCATATGCATATGATCAGACTGTTAACTTGGATGTGATAAGGCTGTTTTAAGACTTTAAGACTTTATCTCTAAATTAAAAGGTTTTTATTTATTAATCAACACTTAAATCAGGGCCAATTATCCCAGAAAATTTCACTTGAGTCCAAAAGATAGCAAGCAATTGTTTATTCAGTTGGCTGATGGGATACAAACCAAACTTCAGAAAGGCTAATGCAAAGCCCACATCATATGAATGACAGAAGTGACATCATTTTTAATATAGCATGGGCACTAATAATAAATGCCAAGTAAGACAGTCCTCTATCAATCATGCATAGTAGGTACTCACATTATAACTATCTTAGCTATTAAATTATTTAACGGTTATTTCAGCAAAAATACCCTGGCAAATTCTAGAAAAACAAGTATCTCTTTCATGTAATTTTGGGACAAGAGTGTTGACTTGAAGTTAATAGTCAGCTGCTTGAGTCCCAACTAAATAATACCTTAATATAAACAGTGCAATGAGAACTTAACACTCATCATCTGATCTATAATAGAGGATTAATAATACACCTATCCCAGAAGATTTTTAGAAGAATTAAGTGAAAACTTTAGAACGTGTAAACTTGAAAGCTCTCCAAATTAAGTGATATTCATGTTTCAAGGAAGCTTTATAAATGGAAAAGGTATACAAATGACTTAGAAATACTAAAATAATCTTATTGTTTAAGTGATCATTTGTGGATTCTTACCAGTTAATGTCTCCTTATAGGGAGCATTGGCTGCTGCAATACATTCTGACAAGACCTGACTTTGTTCATCATAAGACATCACAAAGAGAAAGTCACAAGCATCTGCAATTCCAGCATAATTATAGCACCTGTCTTTGCACTTTGGAGACCAAGTTACATCAAAGGTTACCTGTGGAAAAACACATGCGTTTTTATGTAACATGATCAAATATGCTTATTATGTCCGTTTTTTTGATTATATATTTTCTTGCCTCATACTATCCAAGAAAAAAGACCTCTTTACATATATGAACATAGGGTCTGACACTTATAGAAATATAACAGTTCTAAGATGACTGAGCTAGATATATATTTGGACAGATACAACGACCAGGAACAGGGCGCTATGTAGAAAAGGAGTTTTAAACATAGGTGTAATGACAGTAGGGTGTAGTGGGGCCTCCAAGCAACTAGGCAGTAAAGAAAGCGCGCTAAAAGAATTCAAATAATGTTTTTTTAAAATATCGTGCAGGCTAAATAGGTCATCTCTTGGCACAAGTTGACTCTCCTGTGTCGGGAGTTTAACACCCTGATATACAATTACATTACATGATAGGTTTAATCTAACATTACAATTAAAGAATAGTGGTTTATGGCTACAGGGATAAATCAACTCAAAATGTTGAACAAATCACTTAAATGGTCTTATAAAACTTGAGTGATGCATTTTGGTGAGCCAGTCTTCCACAAGGATGAGACTATTTAAAATATTTATTGCCTTAGCCAAATATTAGCCTTATTTTATATATGTGCAAATGTTCTAAAGCGTCAGTAAAGGTTTTTTTCTCTCATTAAACACATTATTACAAAAATTGAGATAGTTCAGTTAAAATTTTTATACTTTGGCCAATTTATCCTATTATAACTTTTTAGGACTTCATCAAAATTTTATAATTGTCTAAGTATTAGCACTAAAGGAAGCTCAGCTTCACAGGTACAAGCTTTCCTCAGCACTACAGCAAAATAGGTTATAAAGTGAATTTTTTTTACACATCTGATCCCATTTTATCACTGCCTATTATAAAATAGGAGCTATATTCTAGTAATAGAGAAACTTAATGATCACCTCTAAAGAGGTAAATTTCAAATAAGTCCTTACCCTCTGCTGAGCATTAAGAGTATTTTTACCTGGATTTTCCGTTATAGTTCATCTCCAGCATTAGTATATTAGACAAACCAAAATGATTTTGGTTTTACTCTTGACTCTATTATAACTGGGTCTATATCCTTAAAACATCTGAATCTGTTTTCCTACCTATAAAAAATGATGATGTAGAAAGAACGCTTCAGGAGGATTTCTAACTCTTTAATTCAATTACCATAATTCTGTAATCTTAATCATCTTTTCCCCAAAACTCATTTCTCCTTCCAGACTCTATTTAGTCATTTTTTTCTGGTGGCCAGTTTAAGAACTTTTGGGTCATTATTTGACTTCTCTCACACCCCAAAACTAATCTCGCATTTTCCTTTGAGTGGCTTCTCACAGATGTTCTGCCTCTTTCTTTCCATTAATTAATATTTATTAAACACTTCCTGGTGTTAAGGTTATGCCATCATCGTAATCCAAACTATAAATCTCAAGTTAGTAGACTTGGATTAGTCCATACTGGTCTCCATTTCTCCTCTAAACTACTAAATACATACTACTGTGGAATAACCTTCCCCATACACTTTGTACCACGTAAACTCATTACATACAGAATAAAATGCATGTACTTCAGTCTGACATTCTGGATATTCCATAATCTGACCGGTCTTGGCAACTGTACCTCCCCCTAATTTTGAAATTGAATTTGACAGAGTAGCCCAAATTGTTCTCCTTGCCCCTCAAACATGGAAATATTCCTACTGCAAAGTCTTGTTCAGTTTCTTCCTCCTTGCCCTTTCACTGTAGGAAAATCAGGACTAGCAAAGAGATTGTTTCCCACACGCTAATTCTAACCTATTAGTAACAGCAATCTAGAGACTGAAGGAAAAGTTTTCTGAGAAGAAAATTTGTCAGGAGTATGGTGGCCTGCATACCAGGTATTTGCTATTTTTGATCTAAATTGTATTCATCTGAGGAGGGAGAGTTCAATTCAGTGATGTAGGAAAACCCAGAAATCAACCTGCTCCATAGACACGCCAAACCTACACCTCTCTATAGAGCAATTTCTCCTGAAGAACTGAGAACTGACTGAACAGCTTTTACACAACAGAAGATAAACACACCACCTAGAGAACAGCAAGAGAGACATAGACACAGTAACAAAAGAAATTCCCACCCCCTGATGCTGCTAACTGCAGTGGGGAAGGATATATACTGGGAGACTGTGAGCAGGTTTTTCTGCCTTGGGGCACAGGAGGGAGAAAGCAACGGTGTAAAAGACCCAACTAGAATATACAAGATCCAGTCCCAGAACTTTGTCAGACAGTGGGAGAGCTGCTGGAACTCTTTGGATTAGAAGGGCTGGAGAGCACCATGGTTTACATTCCTTCTCTACCTTGATAGCATAAGCATGAACAGGAACAGGGTCTGGGTGACTGCCCAAGCCAGCCTACCATCTCAGTAAGCCCTGGGCTCCTAACCCACACCAGCCCCACCCATCCCACCAATGCAGATTGAGTACAATGCACACAGGACATCCCTAGTCAACACTAACTACAGTTCCAGATGTCTCACCAAGGTGACACAGGTGCCAAACACCCTAGAACACTCCAGGCCTGCACTGCTTTGGCTCCAAGTGATTTGCCGGGGTACCCCCTGGGCAAAGCAGCACCCTGGGACACCCTGGCCTGCACCTGCCTCTGCTCCAGCCACTCTGCCAGGTATCCCTGCACAGATGCCCCAAGACACCCCCCCCCCACCTTCCACCCACTTAATCTTCAGCTGTCCTACCAAGGCGTCTTCTGTGCAAAGAGCCCTGGACTGTCCCGGCCCATGCCCACTTCAGCTCTGACCATCCCACCAGGGTTGCCCCAACCTACAGGACAGCCACAGCTCCAGCCAGATAGCCAGCCAAAATCACCAGGTGCTACAATCTGCAGAGGGGATGATCATACACAAGACCATTTCTTCAAGTTTAGAAGTAGCTCTTCCATCTAATTCATAGAAACAAACACAGAAGGTCAATCAAAATGATAAAGAGGAATATGCTCCAAATGAAAGAACTCAGAAAAAGAACTAAATGAAATAAACATAAGCAATCTACCTATAAAGAGTTCAAAATAATGATCATAGTCACCAGAGGAAAGAGTGGATAAACTCAGAACATCAAGAAGAGATTAAAAAAAATTTTTTTTAGGGCGCCTGGGTGGCTCAGTTGGTTAAGCGACTGCCTTCGGCTCAGGTCATGATCCCGGAGTCCCGGGATCGAGTCCCGCATCGGACTCCCTGCTCAGCAGGGAGTCTGCTTCTCCCTCTAACCCTACCCTGTCTTGGGCTCTCTCTCTCACTCTCTCTCTCTCTCAAATAAATAAATTCTTAAAAAAAAAAAAAAAAAAAAAAAAAAAAAAATTTTTTTTAATCAGAGTTGAATATGGTTACTGAGATGGAAGATACACTAGAGGGAATCAAGAGTAGATTAGAAGATGCAGAAAAATGGACCAGCAATCTGGAAGACAGAGTAATGGAAAGCACCCAACCTGAGCAGCAAAAAGATAAAACAATGAGGATAGCTTCAGGGTTATCTTGGACATCAAATGAACAAGCATCCACATTCTAGGGGTCCCAAGAAGAGGAGGAGAAAGAGGAAGACAGAAAACTTATTTGAAGAAACAATAGCTGAAAATGTCCCTGACCTAGGAAGGAAATGGACATCCAGGTTCAAGAATCACAGAGAGTTCCAAAGAAGATGAACTCAAGGTGAGGGGGAAAAGATGGCGGAGGAGTAGGAGACCCTATTTCAGCTGGTCCCCAGAACTGAGCTGGATATCTACCAGACCACTCTGAGCACCCACGAAACCAGCCTGAGATGTAAGAAGATCTGGATCTCTACAAACAGAGTATCACAGGCGGTTGGTTTTGAGGTACGAAGTGGGGAGCCGTGATTCCGTAGGGAGATATCGGAAGATAAATGGCAGTGGGAGGGTGCCTGACCGTGGGGATCTTACACTGCTAGTGAGTGACAGCCTTGCACGCTGCAGACGGGGCAGAGACTCACAGACCAGTAGCGGTGGGGAAAGGACTTCAGGGCAGCCCCTGGGATGGAAACCCAGAGTGGCGGGGTCACATGAGCAAACTGGGAGCTGCTGGCGGTTTTAGAAGCACAAAGGGCAGAGACATGCTCCGACCTGGAGGCAGGACTCGGAGCACTGCGGAGGGGCGCACAACCCAGGCCACTGCAGTTTATAGCAGCACGGACAGAAACGGAGATGGTGTGGCCTGCAGAGCTCACTGAAGAACAGACTATAGTCTCTCTGCTATGAGGCAGAGTGTTGGAAACAATCTCTTCTGCTCTGACTTGCGGAAGAGAGGCAGAAAGCCGCCAGGGAAAGCCGCCGGAGAACAAAAGCCCCAAAGACTCCGCCCAAACAGGGTTGCCTGAATAACAGCGTGGCAGGCCCCTCCCACAGAAGACAGGCTGGGAAAACAAGAGGCCAGCAACCCTAAGGTCCCAAGGAAACAGGTGCATCTTGCTTGGGTTCTGGTCAATAATTTGGACTCTATACATTCCCTCAAACACCCATCAACAGAATGACTAGGAGGAGGAGCCCCCCAAATAGAAAGACTCAGAGATTATGACTTATGCCACAGATTTACAAATGGATGCAGATATAACCAAGATGTCGGAGATGGAATTCAGGCTAGCAATTGTGAAGACAATGGCTAGAATGGAGAAATCAATTAATGGCAACATAGAGTCTCTAAGGGCAGAAATCAAAGGTGAATTGGCAGAACTTAAAAATGCTATCAATGAGATCCAATCCAATCTAGATAATCTAACAGCTAGGGTAACTGAGGCAGAAGAGCAAATAAGTGACCTGGAAGACAATATAATAGATAAAAAGGGAAAAGAGGAGGCCAGGGAAAAACAACTCAGAATCCATGAAAATAGAATCAGAGAAATAAGTGACACCATGAAGTGTTCCAATGTCAGAATAATTGGAATCCCGGAGGGAGTGGAGAGAGAGAGAGGACTAGAAGACGTATTTGAGCAAATCGTAGCTGAGAACTTCCCTAATCTGGGGAATGAAACAAACATTTGAGTCCTAGAGGCAGAGAGGACCCCCTCCTAAGATCAAGGAAAACAGGCCAACACCCCGGCATGTAATAGTAAAACTTGCAAATCTTAGAACCAAGAAAACCATCTTAAGGGCAGTTAGGGGAAAGAGATTCCTTACGTACATAGGGAAGAACATCAGAATAACGTCAGACCTATCCACAGAGACCTGGCAAGCCAGAAAGGCCTGGCAAGACATATTCAGGGTACTAAATGAGAAGAACATGCAGCCAAGAATACTTTATCCAGCAAGGCTGTCATTTAGAATGGATGGAGAGATGCAGAGCTTCCAAGACTGACAGAAACTGAATATGTGACCACTAAGCCGGCCCTGCAAGAAATATTAAGGGGGGTTCTATAAAAGGAGAAAGACCCCAAGAGTGATATACAACAGAAATTTACAGAGACAATCTATAGAAACAAGGACTTCACAGGCAACATGATGACAATTAATTCATATCTTTCAATAATCACTCTCAACGTGAATGGCCTAAACGCTCCCATAAAACGGCACAGGGTTACAGATTGGATAAAAAGACAGGACCCATCCATATGCTGTCTACAAGAGACTCATTTTGAACCTAAAGATACATCCAGACTGAAAGTGAAGGGATGGAGATCCATCTTCCATGCCAGCGGACCTCAAAAGAAAGCTGGGGTAGCCATTCTTATATCAGACAAATTAGATTTTAAACTAAAGTCTGCAATAAGAGACACAGAAGGACACTATATCATACTTAAAGGGTCTATCCAACAAGCTCTAACAATTGTAAATATCTATGCCCCCAACATGGGAGTAGCCATCTACATAAGCCAACTGTTAACCAAAATAAAGAGTCATATTGATAACAATACGTTAATTGTAGGAGACCTCAATACTCCACTCACAGCAATGGACAGATCATCTAAGCAGAAAATCAACAAGGAAACGAGCTTTGAATGATACATTGGACCAGATGGACCTCATAGATATTTACAAAACATTCCACCTGAAAACAACAGAACACTCATTCTTCTCGAGCACACATGGAACTTTCTCCAGAATAGACCATATACTGGGTCACAAATCAGGTCTCAACCGATACCAAAAGATTGAGATTATTCCCTGCATATTCTCAGACGACAGTGCTCTAAAACTGGAACTCAATCACAAGAAAAAATTTGGGAGAAATTCAAACACTTGCAAGCTAAAGACCACTCTGCTCAAGAATGTTTGGGTCAACCAGGTAATCAAAGAAGAACTTAAACAATTTATGGAAACCAATGAGAATGAAAACACATTGGTCCAAAACCTATGGGACCCTGCAAAGGCAGTCCTAAAGGGGAGATTACAGACATCCAAGCCTCATTCAAAAAAATAGAAAAATCCTGAATTCACCAACTAACTCTACACCTTAAAGAACTAGAGAAAAAGCAACAAACGATGCCTAAGCCATGCATTAGAAGAGAAATAATTAAAATTAGAGCAGAGATCAATGAATTAGAAACCAGAAACACAGTAGATCAGATCAACGAAACTAGAAGTTGGTTCTTTGAAAGAATTAATAAGATCGATAAACCACTGGCCAGACTTATCCAAAAGAAAAGAGAAAGGACGCAAATTAATAAAATTATGAATGAAAGGGGAGAGAGCACGACTAACACCAAGGAAATAGAAACAATTATTAGAAATTATTATCAACAACTATATGCCAATAAACTGAGCAATCTGGATGAAATGGAGGCCTTCCTGGAAACCTATAAACTCCCAAGACTGAAACAGGAAGAAATTGACAACCTGAATAGGCCAATAACCAGTAACGAGATTGAAGCAGTGATCAAAAACCTCCCAAAAAACAAGAGTCCAGGGCCTGATGGATTCCCTGTGGAATTCTACCAAACATTCAAAGAAGAAATAATACCTATTCTACTGAAGCTGTTTCAAAAAATAGAAACAGAAGGAAAACTTCCAAACTCATTCTATGAGGCCAGCAATACCTTAATCCCCAAACCAGGCAAAGACCCCATCAAAAAGGAGAATTTCAGACTGATATCCCTGATGAATATGGATTCCAAGATCCTCAACAAAATCCTAGCTAATAGGATCCAACAATACATTAAAAGGATCATCCACCACGACCAAGTGGGATTTATCCCCGGGATGCAAGGGTGGTTCAACATTCGCAAATCAATCAACGTGATAGAACACATTAATAAGAGGAGGGAGAAGAACCATATGGTCCTCTCAATTGATGCAGAAAAAGCATTTGACAAAATACAACATCCTTTCCTGATTAAAACTCTTCAGAGTATAGGGAGAGAGGGAACATTCCTCAGGTTCATAAAATCCATCTATGAAAAACCCACAGCGAATATCATCCTCAATGGGGAAAAGCTTGGAGCCTTTCCCTTAAGATCAGGAACATGTCAAGGATGCCCACTCTCACCACTATTGTTCAACATAGTACTAGAAGTCCTAGCACCAGCAATCAGACAACAAAAAGAAATAAAAGGTATTCAAATCGGCAAAGAAGAAGTCAAACTCTCTCTTTTCACAGACGACATGATACTTTATGTGGAAAACCCAAAAGACTCCACCCCCAAATTACTAGAACTCATACGGCAATTCAGTAATGTGGCAGGATACAAAATCAGTACACAGAAATCAGTTGCTTTCTTATACACTAACAACGCAACTGTAGAAAGAGAAATTAGAGAAACAATTCCATTTACAATAGCACCAAAAACGATAAGATACCTCAGAATAAACCTAACCAAAGAGGTAAAGGATCTATACTCTAGGAACTACAAAACACTCATGAAAGAAATTGAAAGGGGCACCTGGGTGGCTCAGTTGTTAAGCATCTGCCTTCGGCTCAGGTCATGATCCCAGGGTCCTGGGGTCAAGCCCCACATCAGGCTCCCTGCTCCAGGGGAAGCCTGCTTCTCCCTCTCCCACTCCCCCTGCTTGTGTTCCCTCTCTCACTGTGTCTCTCTCTATCAAATAAATAAAAAATATTTTTAAAAAAAAATTGAAGAAGACACAAAAAGATGGAAAAATATTCCATGCTCATGGATCGGAAGAATAAACATTGTTAAAATGTCTGTGCTATCCAGAGCAATCTATACCTTCAATGCCATCCCAATCAAAATTCCAATGACATTTTTCAAAGTGCTGGAACAAACAATCCTAAAATTTTTATGGAATCAGAAAAGACCCTGAATCGCCAAGGAAATGTTGAAAAAGAAAAACAAAGCTGGGGGCATCACGTTGCCTGATTTCAAGCTATATTACAAAGCTGTGATCACCAAGACAGCATGGTACTGGCACAAAAACAGACATAGACCAGTGGAACAGAATAGAGAACCCAGATATGGACCCTCAACTCTATGGTCAAATAATCTTTGACAAAGCAGGAAAAAACATGCAATGGAAAAAAGACAGTCTCTTCAATAAATGGTGCTGGGAAAATTGGACAGCCACATGCAGAAGAATGAAACTCGACCGTTCTCTAACACCATTCACAAAGATTGACTCAAAGTGGATGAAAGACCTCAATGTGAGACAGGAATCCATCAAAATCCTAGAGGAGAACATAGGCAGTAACCTCTTCGACATAGCCCACAGCAACTTCTTTAAAGATACCTCTCCAAAAGCTAGTGAAACAAAAGCAAAAATGAACTTTTGGGACTTCATCAAGATAAAAAGCTTCTGCACAGCAAAGGAAACAGTCAACAAAACAAAGAGGCAACCCACAGAATGGGAGAAGATATTTGCAATGACACTACAGATAAAGGGCTGGTATCCAAGATCTATAAAGAACTCAA